AAAATATGCGACTAGTGATGGATTAACGCCGTCGGTATAATTGGCATTATTTTAACCCCTAATTATTAACTTATTATTTTATAATAATTTATAAATTATTACCTATATTATTATTATTTCTATTTTATGTTTGATCACGTGGGGTTAGGAAAATAATAAAAAATAATAATCAGGGAACGAATTTATATGCATTTTGCATATTTTTTTGGTTAGTCCAAAAGATTGCTTAGTGAGATAGAATCCGTTTCACATACTGGAGATTAAAAATGCACTACGCATATTTTTGCATATTTGGATATTTTTATTAATAAATGTATATTTTAATATTTTTATATTCTATAGGTCATATTATTACTAATAATGTATACTATATACTATTACAGTAAATAACAAAATCAAGTAAAATGTGTTGGCGGGGTTCAAAGTTTTGACTTTCACGGTCCAGATCCAATCTGCGGTCCACCAGTTTACGACTCCTGATATAAACCTATCTATACATATATACATGTTCAACGAGTAAATTAAGTATGAGATTATTACGGTTGTGTCTTTCTCGCTGAAAGTATAAATGTACGACATATATTAATCATGCGCCAATGTAGGTTCCGGCTGTAGTTGACTAAAAAACGCGTGTTTATGGTCAGTGGTGCAACCCAGGTGGGAGTGTTGTGACTCCCTAAAATATGTAGTTAACTTAACCTTACCTCATTCTCCCCACCAAATACTTTCTAAAGTTAATTTTTTTCAAATGTCTAACCCTCCTTCCTTTGAAAATAAATACTGGTTGCGCCACAGTTTATGGTTCATATACAACAGCACCTTTCATGTGATTACAAATAATTATATTCACCATTTCGTTCTTTCATCGTTGTCGTGAATTTCGTGTGTGTAAGTGTAGACAATATTTTTCACATCGAAATTGTCTACACAAATGAGGTCAATATTATTTGAAGTAATTTAATGAGATTCGTGTTAACGGTTATGAACAAGTACTTGTGCATAATATGTATGTACTGTATAGGTACATATATACACAATATTCATTTATACGTGTCGTAAATAATTACCTAACGTGGTCACGTGGAGTTCACGTTTTTAATTATTATACACAGGAAAATACCCATACTATGTATTATAATTATATCGGTATGTGTAAAACCAAAATTATTTACATAAGCTGGCAGTAATATATACAATACACATCGTAGGTACACGCATTCATCGTATTACACAAAGCCCATGCGCACATGTAAGTTGCATTGATGTATACCGATAATATTGAATTATTGCAGTCCACAACGTAGTGGCGTAGTGAAAGGGGTTTGAAAATGCTTAGTACGTCTAGACATGGGTGCTGCGAGGGGCGTATCCGAATTGGGTCCCAGATAATATTTATGATAAAGATAAACAACTGATTGGGTTCGACTATAAAAATCATAACATACTAGTTCTGTCCGACCACCATGACAATACAACATGTAACTTACCAGTATTAATACATTTGTTAATATTAAAAAATTAATAGATTTGATTTTGTAAAAACTCTATCATTTAAATTTTTACCAATTGAGTAAATTTTTAAAATTTGTAATAATTTAATTTATTTATTTACCATATACCAGTATTCTAATTTATAGGTGACTGACAGTCCAAAGTCTGTAAAAATGAGAAGCGAAATATTTTTTTATACAAACCTAACTAGTGTACTACCTGAAAAATACTGAGATCCAACTGGTGTACTACTTGAAAAACACTGGGACCTAACTAGACTAAATAAGGATCTCTGGGACCCAATTGGTAAATGCCGACTGTGAGAGAGGTGCAAGGGGAGCACTTTCACCCCATTAGGTTAATAAATAAAATAAAATAAAGATACAATATAAATTATTGATAGTTTTGAACTACCTATACCGAAATATGCGATTGTAAACCAAAGTATACATTTATAAACTCAAAACTATAAAATATGTATTATTGTTTATACATATTCATCCACGCTATTGCTATAACGCATATTATATAATGTATACAATATATATATATTATGTATGTAGGCGCCACCAGGAGGGTGCATAATTATATCATAATATCATTGATTTTATATTATTAGTATTAATAATCAATGATATATTGTTTAGATTTTTGTTATCTTCAAATAACAGGAGCCAATAACAATAACAGGCCCTTTAAATATTTTTCAAAAGTCGCCTCCAGGAAAAATATCACGTGTACGGTATGTGAAAACGTCCACAATGTCATGGCTTCACGATTTAAATATGAGTTTTCTTTCGTAAAATATGAATGCCTTTCTTCTTTTAAAATTGGTGACTTAATATCCTTATCTATGCGAGTCGGTTGCGGTGTTATAATATTATTCATTTCGATTCGTATAATTATAATATTTAAAGTTATATGCTAGCATAAGTGTATATAATTATAATAGACGTCAGATAAATATAATTTGTGAATATTTGTCCGCTGAATTATTTCAATAACAGAAAAAGCAATAGCCAATAGCTATAGCTACATAATGATGTATACATAAACGAGTATATCATTTGAAAATTATAAATTCATGTATATTGTAGTTTAAACGATTTGAGGATTAAAATATACCTACAATTTAAAAAGTAAATATATTTTCAATTATTATCGCAATATTATAGTGTATGTATTAGGTTACCTATTAAATAATTATGATAATTTGTCTATCTATACCATGGTAAACGTCGAAAATACAAATATCGTATACGGATAAATAACTAGTAGTCGATCTATATAAAAATGAAGTTTTTTTTTCCAAAATATATTAGCATTAAAAATTATTATTGAGCTATGCGGTGTCGTGCATTTACACATGGAATCGAACAAAGTCTATAAACTATACGAGCGATAACCTTTATTTTTCGAAATAAATTAATTGAATATGCTATAAAAAACGTCCTATTTTTATTGAAGTGTACTATCGTAAACTAACATACAAATATAAGTGGCTAGTTTAAACATTTCGGTGATTGTTTAAAACTTCTGCTCCGTTTAGCAGTAATTATATGTTATGTACATGCACATATTAATAATTATTAATAGTTTTCTATTGTTTAGAATTATTGCTAATGTATTTATTTTTGGAAAAGATAAATGGAAAATAGATCTGAGCAGAAATGAAAATAATAATTTGGAATTGGTTTTGGGTCAATTAAAAATATGAGCTAAAGGGATAAATATGGGGATTGTTGATTTTTGTGATTTAATATCCTCGAGTTCTTGGTAAATTCAGTATGATTATATATATATATATATATATATATATATATAAGAGGTGTGCAATGCGTGCATATGTATTATATGTTCACCACACCAATATTAAGAAAACGCGAAAAGTCGATTCTGAATAATAAATAATAGTTTCATTGTAGCTGTGAATGTTATGGCGTTTATAGTTAGTCTCGCATAAAGAGTGCAAAAATGATTGCAAATTATAATACGCATACTGTTAATCAGTTTATCTAATCATAATACTATTTAGTCATATTAATTTGAACGTTGTTGTAATATTATCATGACGTCCATCATAACCATGCGTGGTTTGTAATATTAATTTATTATCATTTAAATTTGAACAAACCGTATTAGATATTGGTATATATATATTTATAGTAATATTATTGTTATCGCGCTTTTAATTCAAATTTAATTAAACGCATTCGATTTTGATGTGTTTATGCATACAGAAAATATGATGTGAAGTGACGTAAAGGTGGTGTACGGTATATGTGTCTATATGTTTGTGTGTGTGTAATACCGTGTACTTATACTCCACGAAGAAAAACAATAACGTCGATCGCTATTAGCATAGAATATAAATACTAAATAGTATTTATAGTCAATGCTATTAGTTACATTAATAGTTCAGAAACTTAAGGTGTAGAAATACTATCTGAAAGCGACAATGAAAACATAAATTATTGTAAAATTACTGTAAAATACCATCAATTTGTTACTCGTTTCGTTGAGTATCTGAAAATTTAGGAACAATATGCGAGTGGCAAACAATATTTTCGGAATGTTTGCAATACTTTTTCATTTATTAAGGGAATTATGGCGGCTACAAATAGTTTTGAGAGTGTATACAATCGATAGTGCACGGGCGTTCTCAAATAATTTGTGTAACAGTAAATTAATTAAGAAGTCTGAGACACTGCAGTTGTTGGAAGGGTAGGAAGAATCTGATGCAAATCACAAGTACATTCGATAGAAAGCGGAAAACCCAACAGTACGATTTTCCGTCTTCCGTTATATGTTTTGGTGCAGTCACGGGCCAATGCGAATTGAATCCATAGAATTAAACCGAATTCGTATTCCTTGCGGTACCGCGACTTTATCGTTTAAGGACTTTATTATATAGGTACTGCAAGGCCCTGGGGGGGGGGGTAGTTGAGGGCAGCACCACAAATTAGTGGATTGGCCATCGTTAGTTATGTCGATTGAGCAGATCTAAATTTTCGAACCCGGTTAGAATCCTACCACTTTTTAGTTAGACCCGAGTACTACCATTACTGGATAACCGTTGGCATATTGAAATTATACGTTTTGCCGTCACTGATTACTGATAACGCGCGTATTATAAATATTTTTATTTACAACACATAATTAATTACGTAGTTCGTTGCGGCACGTTTTGTGTGTAATGATATTCTTTTTTTTTGTGTGTGTGTGCACGCGTTCATTGTATTTTTATAGTACGTACCACCCAGGTGATAATAAATCGGAATAATATTATACTTTCACTTTCCCTCGGTCTAGTCATTGCGACCGAGCAGTAGTCGTGAGGTTAGCCCTTATTATCTGTCCATTATCATTTATCATAATTATTATTATGCGTCACGAACGGTGCCGGCCTACACCGCCTACCCTATACACGTACCACTGCTAATGTCATTGTGCGTAATTTTTCTTTTGCGGTAAGACCATCATTACTACAGCGGTAGCAGTGATAATAATAGTGGTAACAATAATAGTAGAAATAGTAAGCGTAATCGCAGCGCCTACCGTTTTCCCGAGGTGAATAATCACTTTGTTGAGATTAAAGAGAGAGAAACAGAATTATCATTATATGCCTACATGAAATAATCCGGTGCTTTTTTTTTTTTTTACCGGCGACTGGTTGCCGATGAGGTCGTACCCTTGTCCGGGCAGCGCACTCCATTCGAACCAGTCGGTCAGCAGGTCGACCTTCGTTCGACGGTATTCCGGAAAGGACCTTGATCCGTTTTACGTTAATATTTTTATCATATCACCTCTACGGCGGCGACCACGATGACGGCGTAAATCACCCATTCACTCTGTGACCGTGTCGCCGTACACACGCACGTCGAACCGAAAACCAACGAGAAACGAAAGACCATGAGTGCCAAGTGAGTAACAACCGTTTTTTTTTCCACAGCTTTTACAAATCATTATATTGCTATACTCATGATTCAAAACACGTTTCGTGCGATCGCTTTCCTCGAGTTTCTCGCCCGTCTTAATCCAACATGTTGTTGTTCCATAGATCTGACATCGGACTTATTGGCTTGGCCGTAATGGGCCAGAACCTCATACTTAACATGAACGATCACGGATTTATCGTCACGGCCTACAATAGAACCGTCCAGAAGGTAGACGAGTTCCTCAGCAAAGGGGCTAAAGGCACCAACATCGTTGGCGCACACTCTCTCAAGGAACTGGTCAACTCGTTGAAAAAACCACGAAGAGTCATGATGCTTGTCAAAGGTTAGATAGATAGATTCCAGTCCGTATTCCTATATTCAGTGTCGGATTAAACATTTGTGGGCCACTAGGCAATTAAAATTTTGGGCCCTACTAAATTATTTTTTACATACATCTGTAACATTACTGTCCAATAATTAAAATAAACAGCTTTAATAATGACCAACTATTATTAATAAATAAAATCGTGTGTATTACATTTTTTTTATTTGTGAGAAAAATTAATTATTATATTTTTTCTATTTTTTTTTCAACATTTTTTTATTATTATTACGGCATAAAACACTTACAACTTAATATATATTGTATTTCTTAATGACTTGTCCCATAAATTCGTAAATAAAAAAAAAAAAATATAGTTTTCAGTTTTCACAGAGCCCCTTAAATGAGGCTCTAAGGTGGGCGCTTACTCTGCCTAATGGGTAATCCGGCACTGCATATATTATACTGTTTTCTGTCACGGTTTATTAAATTTCAATTTAATAACTCTTATATGAATCTTACTTAAGATTAGTGAAATATGGACATTTCAGTATCATTTTATAGTGCTCTATAGCATAAGTATAAGCAGGGCTTTTGATCATATTTTAAGCGTTTTTTCAACATCATATAGTACTAATAAGTATAATAGTTACACATAGTGATTCACCAAAAATAATGTAATGTATTATTTCAATGACTAACTTGATATTGTTTGTTCAATGTCATATTAGAATAATTCTTATTTTTCAGGTTCTTTTCAATTTTGTTTATTCTATAGACTTTCATGGTCATGGTCCACATCTACTAAACTCAATTTCTCAATCCAATAAACCATTTCTAATTTAAATATTACATTCTATATCACAAAGAATATATATCTAAAGAAATTAAATTATGTTAATATTTCTAATATTTTATTATAATCATTTATATATTAAAATACACATAAAACAATTTAGATTATTGTTTTTATAATTTTATGAATATTGAATTCAATAGCATTAGGGTAAGGTATTTTATATTTCGTTTGGTTTTCTAAAATGATACTCATGTATGCCATAATAATTATTTTTGGTTTTTTACTATTTTTAAACTTTTTAACTACAATATCAAAATAATAAAATATATGTCCTTGAAAGATAAACTCAAATATTTTGGAGTGTAATAGAACCCGTAATACTGTTACCTTAATGATATAAATGTACATTATTGGAAGTATTACCTGTTAAAGTATATTAATAGTTTTTAAATCAAATTAAAAGTTTATATATTTCTCTTATTTAATTTATTTAAAAGTAGTTTATAAAAATAAACAAAATCAACAATTATACTATAGTGTTTCAGTCAAACTATGTGCAATTTCTTATTTTGTATTGTTCTTTAGTCAAAAGTCCGTTTTTAATTTTTTCAAATCTCTGCTTCTGTGGTAAGATTATTGCTATAAATCCAAGGTCATCTGGTTTTTCTAACATGATATTTGGGGTTTCTGCTAACTTGCTGTTCATTTCCACTAATTTACCTGGAACAGCTGATAATATCTTATGTTCTTCTCCATCAGAACAATGAACTATACACAAAGTTGATCCTGCTTGTACAACTTGAGCTCCTCGTTTGCCTTTTCCTGTCATCATATTTGTTAGTCGATGTGTACTCCCAGAAACTTGAAAATCTATTTTATCAATAGTTTTCCCCATTAATGCATGTGTAGGAGCCAGTGATAAAATACATAGGTTATTAGAATGAATTAGTACGCTGTAGTCCTGATTGGGCTTGTTGTTAACGTCTGTGGCATAACGAGATTCATAGTACCGTTGAACAACTGATGGCGGAATGTGTTCTGGTATTTCAACACTTTCTTCTATCGATGGCACTGAATCTTCATCTACATCGAAATCACGTCCATTCTTTATCACATCCATTTTAATATGTTACAAATTTAAAAAAGTTAAACCATATATTTTAGTTTGTTTGAATAATGTATAATTTGCATTATTTATTAAAAATTTAATGTAGATTTATATTTAATCACTGGTTGTCTGGGTCTGACAAATCACGAATGTAACCAAGTTTAAATCTTTAAATTTTCGTGCACAATAACGTGCTACTGATTAAATATTATCTGAACGTAATTATTTAAACAGTGGTACCAACCAAAAATATTTATTGTCTCGTGTCTTTTAAAAAACGAAAAAGAAACTATAATAATATTGTAGACCTTTTAAGTTTTGTTATTTAAAAAAAAAAAAAAAAAATTAAATCAAATCAAATCAAATGTACAAGTTTATATTTATTGATCTATATTTTAAAATTTCACTTAAATTAATTTAATTTGTAATTTTATTTGTTTTTGAAAACTCGTAAAAAAATAAATACTGATATTTTTTTTAAATATTAATGACTGGCTTGGAAGTTTTAGGAGTTAAATAATGCAAAATATGCATTTAAAATGTTAATTATAAAAAAAAAAGTATTTACAAAACCAATTATAATTGAAAAAAAAATGTACTACTGTTTGGCATTTTGACATATTATTGAAATGTAAATATAATTAAGAAATAAATATATTTTCTGTATTATTTAAGTTAAATACAAAAAAAAACATGTTATATAACACCTATTGAGTTATTGCATTGAATCATTAATACTTTGTTAAGATTTTAAATTTTAAATTTTATTTTTTATAGAATAAAGCTTCTTTCAACATTAGGTTACAGATTTATCCTTATACTGGTTAAGAAAGAAAACAAAATCAATTTTTTACTAATAATTAAATATTTAAAATATGCATATGAAAATTTACAAAATATGCACTTTTTCCTTAAATTAAACCCAATATGCAAAATATGCATTTTTAATTTTCAATTTATAAATTAATCCTTGTATAGCTTGGATTTCTAGTTTGGTCTGCTATAAAAAACTTATAGAGCAACTCCTACAACTTCCATGCCCAATTAATGACAATAATATTATTATGCCCATTTATATTAAAAAAGTGTATAAAGAAGTAAATATTAATTTAATGCTTTCATGTTCTATAGCTGGAAGTGCTGTTGATGACTTTATTGCTCAACTCGAACCTTTGTTGGAAGAAGGTGATATTATTATTGATGGTGGTAACTCTGAGTATCAGGATTCCCAACGTCGAACCAAAACACTTGCCCAAAAAGGTTTGTTGTTTGTTGGTTCTGGTGTATCTGGTGGTGAAGAAGGAGCACGATATGGTCCATCATTGATGCCTGGTGGGAATCCAAAAGCTTGGCCACATATTAAGGACATTTTCCAAGTGAGCATTGTTTTACTAAAAATATTAAAATATTGTCTTTCTATTCACTTGGTTTCATCTGGATCTATATTTTGGTTATGAAAAAATTACTAATATATTGGAGCTATTTTATTTAACATAGATTAATATTATTTATTATTATTTTGTATTCACCATCTTTATATAAAATATTTCAAGTATATAATTTAAAATGTATATGAACATTTTATTATATTGACTATACTATATTTAGGGAGTTTTAATTTCAAAATACTAAATTTGTGAGTGGAAACAGATCTTTTGTTACTATATATATTTTTATTCAATCTGGCCTTGGTTTTATGAAAGTTTTCTATTAAGATAATAACAAAAGTAATTTTAAAAATTTATTTATTATTAAGTTTTAAGTCATGACATTATCTTAATGTTAAAAATTATTTATTTTTTTGTATTAATGATCAGTACAGGGCTATTTGGGTGTGCCATTTATTTATTTTTATATAGTGCCTCAAGGCAACTACCTACCAAATTGATTTTATTATAATTGAAGGAAGTGATTACATTCACTATGATTATTATTTTATTTTTAATAATATTAAAAATGTTTTGCTGAATGTTATATTTTTACTTAAAATTATCGTATAGAAAAAAAAATTTAATTTTAATTTTAAATAAATGTATAATCATCCTTTATTTTTTATTCTTTATTGATAGAGTATTTCTGCTAAAGTTGATGGTGAACCTTGCTGTGATTGGGTTGGTGAGGATGGTGCTGGTCATTTTGTGAAAATGGTTCACAATGGTATTGAATATGGAGACATGCAACTTATCTGTGAAGCATACCACTTGATGAAATCAGCATTGAATATGAATCACAAAGAAATGAGTTTGGCTTTTGAAGAATGGAACAAGGGTGAATTGGACTCATTTTTGATTGAAATCACAAGGAATATACTGCAGTTTAAAGATGACAATGGAGAATATTTAGTTGAGAAAATTCGTGATTCAGCTGGCCAAAAGGGTACTGGAAAATGGACTGCAATCTCTGCATTGGATTATGGTATACCAGTCACGTTGATTGGAGAATCTGTGTTTGCTCGCTGTCTTTCTTCTTTAATTTCTGAGAGAGCAGAAGCTAGTAAAGTTCTCAAAGGACCAACAGAATCCTTCAATGGTGATAAACAAGCCTTCTTAAAAGATATTGGAAAGGTTACTTAATTTTATATTATTTTTAGTTTATTGATAATTTATAATGTATTTATATGTTCCACCATTATTTATTAATTTAAAGTGGTTCTAAAATTACTTAACCTCTATAAAATAGTAAATTCCTACCCTCTATTCCATTATGTTTTTGTTAAAAGTAGAATTTAATTTTTAGGCCTTATATGCATCCAAAATTGTATCCTATGCTCAAGGATTCATGTTGATGCGTGAAGCCGCTAAAATTCATGGATGGAACTTAAATTATGGAGGAATTGCACTTATGTGGCGTGGAGGATGTATCATTAGAAGGTATTATTTAAATGTTTCAGTTATTTTAAAGAATACATTGATTTACATAAGAATGACATTTTAGTGCATTTTTGGGAAAAATTAAACAAGCCTTTGAACGTGATTCAAATCTTACAAATTTACTGCTTGATCCATTTTTCAAGAATGCTATACATGACAGTCAAGTTGCTTGGCGCAAAGTGGTTGCCACTAGTGCAACAATAGGAATACCCACACCAGCTTTCAGTACGGCTTTGGCCTTTTATGATAGTTATAGAAGTGCTAGGCTTCCGGCCAATTTATTACAGGTAAAATATATTTCACTGCATTTTGGTAGTTTATATTTATAATTTTGTTTTTTATGTTAGGCTCAACGTGATTATTTTGGTGCTCATACATACGAGCTGTTGACAGCTCCCGGAAAATATATTCATACCAACTGGACTGGTACAGGTGGAGATGTGTCTGCTAGTACATATAAAGCTTAAATGTGACCAACGATATTTGTTAAATTATTTAATTTATAGGGACCAAAAATGGAAAATAAATATAAATTATAAAACACTCCAATTCATTTAAGATATATGATTTTTTACTTAAAAATAGTTCCATTTTATTTAATTTTTAATTTTCAGATCAAAAAATGGAAATTTGTTGATGTATTAGAAAATTATGGTTAATATTCTTGCCTTTAGGAACATATACATATATATATATTTAATTGTAATATTACCATTAAAAATATATTGTTTTCAAAAAAAACATTTTTGTTGATGAGAATATAGTATATTTTTATTGAAATGTTTGAATTATTAATTCGTTTATAGTTTTATTTTTATTATATGACCTTAATACTAAATTATGTAAATTTAGTTTCTTGATAAATTTGTATTTTATCATTTTTTTTTTTTTAAGCTAAAATTCTGTTTTTATTATCATGTTACATTTATGGTTTATACTTATATTACTTATTTATAAATGTATCCCAAAATTAAAATTAAAAGGTAACTGTAAAAGATAAAAACCATGTTATAGATTTTAACTATTAATTTTACTACAGTGTAGAATATAAGAATAATAATATTAGAATATATTAAACAAATTAATCATTCCCAAGGTTTAATCATAAATTAATTTTTAACTAGCTAAACTAAGAGGAAGTTACAATAAAAGTGAAAGGTATAGACACTGAAGGTTTTGAGTTATTAATACTATTTTATTTTTTGGAAATATATTTTATGTTATAAATACCATATTTTAAAATCTAGTGCTAATACTAGAAAAGTAAACTTTAAATTAACTTTACTTAAAATCAAATATTGTTTATTCTCTATTATTTGATTAATTACTCTCTATTAATCTTTTCTCTTTCTGTGTTTAAGATTAATTTTAAAATTTGTGTTTAAATGTACTTGGATAATGTATGTAACTATGTAAGTAATATATACACATAGGTACATATCGTAAATTATAATATGAATATTCAATAAAATAATGATTGAAAATTAAGATACAAATGATCGAGTATTGTACTGTATCAGTTGTTTTAAACTATGTTAGTCCTCATAAACTTTAAATTATAAATTTTAATACAAAAACTTGTAATTCAAACAATGTGTAGATATTTTATTAAGAATAATAATAATGATCAGTAATAAATATAATAAATAATTAATCTTATGAATAATGATAATAATAATAATAATAATAATAATAATAATATATATATATATATTTATGTATATATAGATCATTGTTGTGGTCTGATGACGCAATTTATAGACAGTATGTTTATATGTACGCGGTATAATAAATAATAATTATAAAAAAACAATAATTTATTATTCTATTCGTACCCTTTGGGAAATGAGCCTTGTCAAGCCATTAACGATATAGCTCATAATAATCAGTTACATTATGTTCTAAAAAATGTACAGGTGAACAACAATTGCAATTCATACTTAGTTTTTGTTATTTTAAAGTGTATAAAATAATGTTTTTAATACAATAATAATAATAATAATAATAATAATAATAATAATAATAATAATAACGCGTATATAACGGTCAAATATACATATATATGCACATGTTATATATAATATATGTATTTGTTTAAATAAATTAGTATGTACACGTAGAATAAATAAATCAAGGCATATAAAAAAAAAATGTACAGTTGTAAAACGTAATAATTATGGGTTTAGGTTTGTGTGAGTGTGTGTGCCGAATAAAAATCAAATAGCAATGTTTTAAGTATGCGTAAAAATATAGTACAATGTGTCGTAATAAAATATACTCATGCACGTAAATATTTCGTTCGATACAAATAATATTGTGTGCTTACACGTATCGGAAGCTAATAAAAACGATATTACACTATTACTATTATTTTTGACACGATCGTCTTGCATTTCACCCGGGTGCAGGTCGAGAATGACGAACAAACGGATTGAAATATACAGTCCACACCAGTTTTATTCGGGTGTTATTTATTTAATTGAGCTTTACGTTTTGAAAGGATTTCATCCCCCCTTCCTCGGCCCCGTTGTTCGTAACTGGTGCTATCTTACAACAGTATAGACTTTTAGTTCTCAAGTGGTCATCTGTATATTATTTGAATTCAAATTTCAAGTAATATTATATTTTTCTTCTTGATATTGTTCAGTCCGACGGTTCGGACGGATAAAGCGATATCATCATTTACAACGGGAAAACTATAAGCAAGAAGACATTTAATAATCAGTTATCTTAGCGCGTGGTGATATGTGAATAATATCAAAGCTATTTTTACGAGCAACGGAGCGGATGGATATGAAAAAAAATTAATACCGTGATGGAACACAGTGAAATCTCGCGAAAAATGTTCAACAAGAATAAAACACAAATCACTCGTTCTTCTACGACATAGGATCCGGAAATTTATGTTAAAAGCTTTACACTCATACAGGGCGGACTGACAGAGCTGGTAGGTGGTCGTACCCACCCAAGCCCTCCAGAAATGTTAAGTGTGGGCCTCGAGCTATATTTGTAGCACGAGTCGTTTGCCAGTTTGTAAAACTTTTATCTACCCATCCGAGTCCTCAGTCCGCCCTTGGTTATAGTCGTATGCGAATTCCGTATACATCAAGAGATGAAAATCGCGAGTTTCCCAATAATAGTATATGTTGTAATTTTTTTTCTATAATTGTTTGTACAAAATATCAATCTTTTCACAGTGCGCTATGCGCGACTGCGCTATACAGTAGCGCGCGCGAGGAACGTATTGAGCAACGTATAGGCAATAAGTTATATAACATAATATGCACATGGGTGTAATATTAATACATTACAACAGTAACTTAACGAACATAATTACAGAGAAGAAAAACTAAACAATATACACAATGATAAATGTACAACGGTGCCGCCGCGTGTTCGTGACGAGTACGTACGTACCTTTATGTTTTTGTATTTTTTTAATTTTATTTTATAACAACGTGAAATTGTCAAATACCGACTTGCTCATGCAACTGAACCGACTTATATCAATTACAATCTCTATCTCTGTCTGTCTGTCTGACGGTCTGTTACTCCTACACTTTCCACCCGGTCCGCTGTAACCATGTACCGGAAAATTGAATTTCTCGTTAGGGTTAAAAAAAAAAAAAAATAAATAAAAAAAATAAATCTTGTAAAAAGTGCGCGCCCGATCGAATCCCGTTCTCGTACGAGCACCACAACAATAATAATGCGTTCACCTCTAGGTTTAGCCCTACACGCCAGTAAAAGTAAGCGGGTAACAACGTATACTGGGAGTATACGCGCGCAAACGCTATTTTTGCTGCGTTGTACACGGATGGATTCGGACATTTCCCGAAAAAATTATTTTTTATCACGGCTGTGTACCCTCACATCTCTCCGGACAATGTACTATTCGGATACGTAATGTTATGTGTACGGGAGGTACATGCAACGAGAGTACAGAACGCGCGTGTTACCTGTTATTATACTATTATTTTTTTGAGAACGTTTTCCCGGACCCAAATCCCGTGTACGTACATATACGTAAATAATACGGTCGTAAGGGTGGCCCGGCCGATTCTTCGAAGTGGAAGAATTCGCCAGAGAAATTCGACACAGGCGAGGGCGGGAGGAAGGCGCAGAAATGCGGTTTTCGATGTGTTCACGTTCATTCCTATACATACTTTGGCACTGCACCGCAAGAGATCAATCATGGTTCGTTTTCGAGCACGGTAACGCGTATAATATTGATATCGAAAAAACGGTTTTCGGCAAGTCAAAAGAGAGGTTAGGTATACACTATTGTAATTCGTATGAATACATAAACGAATGCGTTCGCGTCACAGCGCTACAGTAATAACAATAATAATAATGTCACGAACACACTGTGTACAATATAATATAATGAACGTGAAAACTGTCGAGGACGGGCGTACATAATATAATACTTATTAGGTCCCGTGCAACGCCGCCATAGAAAGTTTTCACTGTAATATAAACAATAATGACGAACGTGCGTCGACACCCGCAACGAAAAAGTTTATAGTAAACGGCAGTTTATGTAGTCTGTATCTCATTAAAAAAAAACTTAAAGTTTGTTATGGAATGGGGGAAATACGGTTTATGGTTTCTTAAGCAACAGAAGAGATTTTTCAAAATTATTTTTCGAAAAACTGGTATACGTACATATATCATCCCGAAAAGTTGGCGACAGACATAGTATACGATATTTTTCGTTGCGGGTGTCCACGCGTGTAGCGCCTAACTGAGCGTAGTCCCGCAGTGTCAAAGACCGAATAGTAGCAGGTAGGTTACGTAGGACATGATGACAGTATAAATTTATGTGTACCACGGACAGATTCGTCGGAACCCGAAAGTTCCGAAGGCGGCAGCGTTGTACAGATATTATACGCTTTGGCTGATCCAGAGCAAGACAACGGGGATGAGCGTTTTGAGGATAATGTAGCTCGACAAGTCGGTCGGAGGTGTGAGGGTGCGACGGCCGTGGTCGCACGACACGTCTTCGAATGGAAACCGTCCTGGCGCGCGCAGGAAATCGTGTGTCACGCGCGCGCCGATGTGTTGTTCGTCGTAACAATTCAGACGTCCGTCGTGGGTCAAATTATGTCCGTCTCGTACACTTTGTTGACGGTAGTCGTCGCGGCGGTAGCGGCAGCGTTGTTCGACATAGTGGCCGCGGTCTTGTTCGTCGTGGCGGCGTCCACGTCGGATTGTCGTTTCTCGGCGTCGGCGGCCGACGACTTTACCGCGACGGCCAGCTGGGTGAGCGAACCCGATATGGGAGCGGCCGCGCTCATGGACAGGCCCATTTTCAGCAACAGGTTGCCCTCGCTGCCCGTCTTCTTCAGCTGCAGCAAGTCGGGCGTCGGTTGCGAACGCTGCAGCTGCTGCAGACGCATGTACTGCTCCTGCAGCGCTTTCTGTTTCTTCAACAGTTCCTGGTGCCGCTGTTCCAGTTGCTCCTGCCTGCTGACCGACCCGGTCGCGACTAAGGTAGCGTGCTGCTGCTGCTGCTGTGCGATCGGCGGTTCGGGCATCGGCGGTTTACCGCAGCCGCCGCTTGAAGGGATCGTCGACGGGACGGCGGACATGACGGTGGTCAGCGATCCCTTGCGGCTGGGCGGGCTGCCGGCCGACGACGACACCGAGCTCCTGGGAGACGTGGACGCGACCGAGCCGCCCACGCACGTGGTCGGCGACGCCACCGGAGACTTGGAACTGGTCCGCGGCGGCGGCGGCGGCGGCATGCGTTTGTTCTGCAGGTCGGGCGTGCGTTCCGGCACGGGCGGCTTGCCCGCTTCCGACGAGGTGCTGCTCAACCGCCGTAGCACCGGTTTCGGGGCCAGGCACGCGGGGGCCACGGGCGTTACCGCGGTTACCGCGGCCGTCTCGGCCACCGTCACCAATGCCGTTGCTGCCGTATCCGTCGCCGCCGTCACCGCGGACGATGTCGACGGGGGGGTGGTCTGGAGTTCGTCTAGCAAAGTGTCGAGTGCGTTCTCCGTACCTGTTGGCTCGCGCTTTCCAGCACCGCCGTCTGATCCGGTTCCGGCCTGGTCCACGACACTCCCCTGTCCAACGACACTCCCCTGCGGAACAGATAAAAAAACCCTGTTAAAACGCGTCCCACGGATTCGACATGATAATGCGGTGTTCGTGCACGCTAGTTAAAAGGACGGCATATTCGGAAAAATTGCGATAAATTAATACGTCGGTTATAAATCAAAAAATATATGTATATACAACGGGCATGAGGTTTTTGAAAAATTGTTTTGAAATCGTTGTCGTGTTTCACGTGATTTGAAATCTCGCCGTTTTTGCATTATCTATGCGATTATATTGTACTTTACATCTGAACCGAGGATTCGCGTCGAAACAAAGAAATATATTTATAATTCGTTTTTGATTATAATTTGTTTTTGTTTTAAATTTTTAAATCGTATCGAACACGTTTCAGTGGATGTCGTTCATGTGCGCTTTTGAAATGACGTCCGATTAGAGCTGACGATTATTGGCCGTACGGTTGGCGTGATAAATCGCACGTATCACGACCAAATTATAATTAACGAAATTATTGTGCATTAAAATAGAGAGGTCCTTTAGTGTTAAACGAACGACGTGGTATGAGGTCCTTTTGACTAGCACATACAAACACATATACACACACACACACACACACACACACGCATACACAGTAGGTACAGTATAATAAACATTAAATAATGTAATACATTATTTTTCTCGAAGATTCGTCGCGGGGGCTGTCTTTCAATTTCTTTACTTTTTGTTAACGCTCGTTGGTCATGTATTTGGAAAGCGGACGGTATTGATATTTGCATAATCTTAACGAAAAAACTGTTTCTTACGGGGCACCCTTCGATATTAATTTCCAAGTATTATTGCCCCTTGATGCACAAACGACAATTATTGAATGTATAAAATAACGCCGCGGCAAACTACGAACTATTCGCAATTTCAGAGTACACGTTTAAAATATTAGTTATACATGTTATACTCTTAATACTTAATGAGTTGTCAAGCGAATTGGTTTCATCGAAAAACCATATTATCGGATTGTTGAAGTTACACATTTTGTTGGAATGTTAAAACAAATAACGTTTGGCGGTATACATATTTGATCAAAAAGTTATTACATTATTTACATTTAAGAATATAGACTTGTATTATGTTCGCACACGTTACGAGATTTTAAAAGCTACATTTATAATGTTTTATATAAACGTATTTTATTTTTTAATCAAATAATGGAATTGATATGCGAGGGATACGCGATGGTTTTTTTCCGTGTGGTTCAATTTTAGACAGTTTATTTCTCACTTTTTCTATTAAATACCAAAAGAAATATTTTGTGCGTAATGTGTCAATAATTTTTTTCTTTCTTATAATATCGTAAGCGAAAGTTTCACTTGAATGATAGATTATCTACCCTTTACGTCAAGTATAGCACTTGGATTTCTGGATTTCGTAATATCTACGTAAAAAGGGTAAATTTATAGGGATCTTTACCGATTTTTATCGTGACTTAAAAGTTTTTATAGAGTTGCCATTTTATAAATGAATAGATAATAATGCGATAATTTCATACATTTTTGTTGATTATGAAATACGAAGTTGTTTTTAGTTTACGTTTCCGTAAACGCGAGAAAAAAATAACAACGATAGTATTAAAGAAATAATAACAATAGTAAACGCATAAGTTTACAGAATGTTAAAAAACAAATATTATATACTTAATTCATTGCGGATTCGCTAAGTTATATTATTATATTTTTGCAATGTTTATTCGAGAGAAAATCTAAATAACAGAAGTATAGGTAAGTAGTAAATGTATTTTTGTTTACTTAAAAATTTGTTATTATACACCAAAAATAATAGATGGAACTATGGTATCTATACGTATATTTTATTTAAATATTTGTTAATTAATAAATTTTGTTCGTACATAATTCAGTTAAATATATTTATACTCGGAAAAGGTTATTTTAAATGTATACTTCTCAATAGCAATATAACTACGAAATGAGATTGACATAATTTACGTTGAAACAAATTACGGTTGTGCTTACATTTTTATTGTACCAATTGAAACGAACTGAAAGGAAATGCGCCTCCATGATTGATTTATTATTTTAAACATTGACTGAACCTTTTCCAAATATATTAATATACTATAGACGAACTGTAATATAGAGCTTGAGAATACTTGTTAAGAAATTTTATTTGTAGCAAAAACGTGTTATTGAATTACTTCTTGGTACATTAATAATTACTTGGTTTAATGTAACACATTTATCGGTGGTTAAGACGTTTTATGAATTTTAATTTAAAAAAAGTTAGTCATATTAATACTGTAATAGACATTAAAGCAGATGTACGAACCCTCGTTGTTGTACCGATCACAAGATAGCCTATATATTATTACATTACTTTATTTATAAGCAATATTTTGTTAATTAAATGGGTAATTGAAAGACAGCCACTTCAAACAGTATATAGTATAATAAATTATTAATAATTATGTGCAAAAGTAATCTACAAACTATAAACGTTAATTACATATTTTTGCTGTGTAAAATATATGAGGCATGCGTAAGATAATAAAGTAAAAGCCAAGAAATTTTGACTTAGAACAAAATATTTTCAAACTAAAGAAAATATTTCTTTCAAAAACAAGCTATAAGAAAAATGTAGCGTTTCAAATGTATACAAAACTTATTATTGTAATGCAAGTACTGCAAAACTATTTAAAACAAACTTTCAAATATTCAAGCGGTTCTTTCGAGCGAATCAGTAAATCTTTTGGATATATTTGTATTCGTAGGAACATGCAAAATATATGTATATATATAAATGTATATTATAAATGGTTTAAAACAATTATTGTCATATATAATCTAAGGACGGATTGCGTAAAAATCGATTTGAAATTATAAATTTAGTTAATATCGACAAAAAAAGTGCAATCTACAATAATCTCAATGAAAATGAACTGTTCAATAATATGCAATTAGAAATTGATTTAATCATTATATGCTACTCATAGGTCTGACTACAGTGATTAAAAGAGTATTAGTAAAATTATTATTAATGAAAAAAATGTATTTATTAATATATGTATAAGTATAATAATTTGGTGTTAGCTTTTTTTATACAACGTTCAAAAGAGACTATAGACTTATTGAATGGGATATTATTATGGATTAGTAATTGTATTATTTTTATTTTGATAACCTTGTTAATAAAGTTATATCAAGTTACCATAAAATTAAATATATATTTACACATATACTCGGGTAATTACCAAAATCTATCCGAATTGAAACATGACGAGTAATTTGCAATGGACGTCCACGGAAAAAATATATTACAATACTTGTTCACAATCTACATTATCCGTGCAGGCGTTATTCACACACTATATTAAAAAAAAAAAAAACACAGGCAAACTAAATAATAATAATAATAAATAAAAAACAAACCAAATAATATATATAAACGAGGAATAAGACTTGCAGTTCAAATGAAAAGGCAGAAAAACAGTTATTAAAGAATATACAATACAAAAAAATAACAGTCATTATCATTGGGCTCAATGGAATTAACAATTGTTTGTTTTAAATTAAGCGCTACGGTTAATAATAAAAAAAAAAAAAATAAAAAAAAAAAAAACATATTTACTAAACATTTCCAATGTGAAATTAACTTTTTTTCTGTACGACAGTGAAAACTATAGTAGTAAGTCGTACACACGAAGAAATAAATATACGATAAGTAATTCTTCGCAGGAATATATGAATGTGTAAGTCAGTGGGTGTGCACGCGCATGTGTGTGTATTTTTGTGTATATAAATGCGTGTGACCAAAGTAAAAATTATACATTGTAATAAAAAAAAAAATTAATTATGTCCATTGCACGACCATGTCGCATATTTTAGTATATATAAAAAAAGAAAAATACACATGTTGTCTAAAAGTCCATGCAAATAAATCATTGAAATGAGAATAAAAAAAAAAACTCGTGTGTTAAGATAATATAGAAAATGAAACATCATAAAAGTAAGAAAATATTGAAAATAAAACCATTAATTATTAAACAAAAGAAATACTGAACCGTTTACCTGAACCACGGTCATATTATAATAGGTATCTAACGAGAGATGCATGCATCGTCAGTATGATCTAAAAAAATAAAATATATATAAAACCAACATTTCACGGGGATAATGTTAATGAATAAAATGGAATAATACATATAACAAATGGCAACATATAATAAAAATAATAGTTATGAATTCAAGTAATAAAACTCAGATGAACATGAAAATGAGTCAAGCAGATGAATAAAAAAGTATTACATCAATTCATAAGCATTAAAATACAACGATTCGAAGAATTTTGGACTTGTAAAACAATGAAAAAATTTACTCATGGCTAGTAATCGCATCCTTGAAGTTTGCACTCCAACGCCAACCAAACTGGTAGCCAATTTAAAACAAAAATAAAAAACAAAAATTAATTTCTATAAAGCTTTTTTTTTTGCTTTTTCTTTATGTAGTCATTATTTAAAAATACTATTAATAAGACATGTCCCGTGATTATAAATATATTGTTATTTACGAGATAATGCATATATATATATATATATATATATTATTATTATATATATATATATATATATGGCATAATAATATTATGTTACGAAAATATAAAATGCAAAATAAACGTTAAAACACATTGGAAATGCATTATAATAATATGTTTAGTTACACACGTTTAGAAATTGATCAACTAAGTTTTCGTAAAAAGCAAGTTAAACTAAAACAACATTATATTGAATAATAATAATAATAATAATAATAATAATAATAATAAATAAAAAAAAGAACAAAGCTATATTTCTGTAAAGGTCCGCAAATTCGGCAAGACTTGTAGGTTGAAAATACGAATACGAAAACTAAAAGAACCCTTTATATAACAATATAAATGTCGTTTTTTTATTTAATTTTTTTTTTTTTTTTTGTAGATGATCGAAAGAAATGAACGAAGTACGAATTTACTAAATGGCGACTCAAGAGTTACCGAGATCTCGGTAACCGATTATACCTTGGCGGACGATGTAGGTGTAATTGGCGGAGTGTTTTCATTAGTCGGTGATAGTCTGGGATCGGGCAAACGCTGTTCTTGTACGGATGCTAGTCTGTAAAACAATAAAACACAATGTACGGTTAAAACCAATTTTTCTCACAAATCATTGGGATTTTTATAGCAATTTTTTTTTTTTTTTTTGTATGAAAATTCGCGTATTCTCCTTTACGCCAATATTGCCTAGTCGAGCGAAGATGTTCAACAGCTAAGTTCTGAGAGTGGATTAAATATTTAAATATTAGTTACTTATTACTGTTTTACAGTAATTTTTATCATCAAATAATATTTAATTAAGTAGTCGTTATTAACTCTCGTTAAATATTCAAGAGAAATGAATTAATTCGAATTGACTAAGGCTTTGATTTATTTTTTACTCATTAAAATTCGATATTATAATTTAAAAATTATAATTGTTACTATTAGTAAGACAGCGTGATAATATATCATTTAGAAATTGGAATACTTGAAACACTATGGTTATATAGTTTCAGTTGGTAATCGAAAACATTTTAGACAAATTAATATTTACTTAAAAAAGTCTTGCCGGTGATCATTAATTTTCTTGTTCACTCATTATAATGACATAAGATGAAACTACCATAAGCTATTAATTGAGAATTTTGAAGTGATAAGGTATCCGACGGGAGAACTTAATGGTAATTAAAATAACCAACATTTTCTAGATTGCAGACAAAAGGCAAATAGAACTTGATAATGGGATCAGATTAACCAATTTAATTTCAAGTTAGATCAATTAGCTTTTGAAATATATATTAAGATTTCAGAACAAAAGTATAGTGATATTGAGTCGCAAGAGAAGAATAACATGCAAGTTGTAGACGGTTTATGCGATAAACTATTTTAAATTATTAAAATCATTTTTATTTTGTTAATATTGATAGTATAATATTACACGAATAAATAAATCTACAAAACATCTGAATAGATTAAAAAAAAGGTGTAAATTTTAAAATATTTAAGCATCCTTTGGCAAATCTTTGATCATCGACAAATAAATTATTATAAATTATTAATACATTTTTTAGAAGTATATGTACTTAAATACTGAGTTCATTTATATAAAATAAACTATACTTTCTATAGACACATGTTGTAGTATAGTTGTTTATAAATAATAAAAATATTAATTATTGAGTAGTAGGTTTATAAAACGTAAATGATTTACCTCTTGAGTGTTACAAGCGTTCCGGTTAATTTTTTACATCGTTTGAGTGCGCTCTCGAGTCGATCGGGCTCATCCTTGAGAAACCTATACAGGCAGAAGATTTATTGAATTATATATTATAACATTAAGGACCTAATATGAATATTATATGAGTAAATTTACTTTTCCTCAGTAACGGCTCGGTCCATTTCCTTGGTCAATACGTTTCGGATAGATTCCTGTAGACTCGGAAACTTCAGTTTCAATTCCGCAACAGTTTTACTGAAGAAGAAAAAAAACACAGTAAGAAACGAAAATATTTATTTTCTTAAGAATTCAACGTAATTTTACGGAAAGTTCACGCGTCGTATTTTCCGATATCATAAAAATTCGAAAGAAATCTCATTAGATTTTCGAAATACAATTAGAAATAAAGTATATTTATATACATCGTAAGAAGAGAATAAGAGGAATTAGTTTCACGAGAAATATACGTTGCCAACGGGATTCCCAGGAGAACGAGAGAACGAGAAACGATGTCGTAACGATTTTGGTTTAGGGACGATGGAACTCTCGTGTCGAGCCCGTTGGCTATGATATATATTTTGGATACCTGGATTTGCTGAGGACAAGCGCCATGTTTTCCACGTCTGACATGTTTACTCGGGACTTCTTGTTAATGACGTTTCCCCTCAATTCTTCCACCGTGCTCTCGAGTTCCCTGTGCGGACACACGCGGCAAAATAACAACACCCATTAACAAAATTCACAAGCGAAAACTATAAATTCTTGGTTACGCGGCTCTGGGTTATTGAGATTTGTAATCTAATACCTTATTATTTATTTAGGTTAATACACTATAAATATGAGTGTGACGATCGTCACTATAATAAGTTTATTTAAACTAACAATGCAACAATAGTATAATATTCATAAAAACTGTATCGTAATATCGAAGAGGGAGGGACGGTGCTACGGGTAAAGCTTCAGCCACCTTGATGAGTCGGATTATTTTTTTTCGGATAAAATGTATTTGTTATTTTTCTTACGATCCGCACTATCGAGGTGCGACGAGTAGACAAGAAAATGCGACCATATGATGTGAACACATGGACGTAGTTACGAAGTTACATAAGTATTCAATCCGATTGGATGTTAACATTTTACCGAATTTTGACGTGAAATCAAATAACTATAATTTCCCAATGACATGGGTTAACAATTTTTTTAACATACTTTAAGCAAGGTACATGGAGTACTATTATTACAGCAGTAAAGCATCAAAATAATGCATTTCGATGGGACCATATATATTTTCGAGGTTTATCTTGTGAACAAATTTTTCTGAAGTTATTTTCAAATATTTTTGAGAGGTTTCAATTGAAACATATATAATGAGGTTATCGTAACGGTTCGACGAACATTTTTCTAATTTGGAATTCAAAATTATAATGTACTACAAGTATGCGCATAAGAAGTTAACGAAATGTTTGTAAATTATAAAGTTGCCGTTCGCGTTATGCTATACTTATACAATAAGGACAACATTTTCGAGTTTTCACGCGTTCGTATATGTTATTACGTATTACAATAATTGTTATCTTACCAATTAAGAAAAAAAGCAACGAAGGCGAATTTATCCGAGAGAATTTCACGAACAAACGAATTATTATTACAGAAGACCACCGAAAAATATGTTTGGCTACGAAACGCGTAGCGCAGCATGATGCGAACGTGTAAAATAAGCGTAACACGTCGCGTTACTACATTGCTTATGATTTCCGACATTCGGCGAGAGTACAAGCAACAACGGTTTATTTCCGCGAGAACGGAATTCATAGAACAGAAGGTACCGACTAAATAATAATAATATCTACACACCACGCTGTATATTATATTATATTGTACTATTATGTGTGGAATTACACTCCGGCGATCTATTAAGATTAAGAGATGTCAGACAATGATATTGCGTGTTTAAAATCTTTATAGTGTGAATAATAACGCGTTAATAGTATTGTAATTCATCAACTTTTTCCCGACTACGGTCGGATGGTAGAAAAAAAAAATAAGTATAGCTGTTACACAATGCATCACATAGTGTATTATTATTATTATTATTATTATTAAATATGTCGTCGACGGTTGACACTTACGTCAAGTCGGTTTCCAGCCTGATAATCTCCTGTTTGTATATATCCTCTTCCCTGTCCACGCGTGCCCTCTCTTTCGATCCGGATTCGCTCCACGCCTGGTCGGCGCCGGAAGCGATCAACGCTCTAGATACAAAATTAAATTACATTATCTGCACGCAGTACATTTAATAAATATATTATAATAAATATTAAAATAATTCCCTGATCGGTGATTGGTCGGAAAAAATTTTAAATCCCGCGGAGGGTTTTTCGTTTCGTTTCGTATTATAATAATATTATAATTGTATAACAATTAATAACAAACGACATAGATTAAATCGTTGCAGTAATTTTAGAAGGATCCGATGTTATCAAAATATTTTAATTTATTTTATTTTTTTTACCAAAATATTAAAAACTGATTTTCGTGGTAAGTATATATTTACACGTCTATAATATTATAATATATAATGTATATTTTTAAACGGTGGTTGAATAAGAAAGATAGATAAAACGATAAATCGTTTGAATAATATAAGTTCAAGAGCTGAAAATCGATTTATGAAATATTCAAAGGATATCGTTGGTGAACAGCCTAAGGATATTTGTTTTAGCTCTCAAAATATTATGTATGCATACTGTGATGCTATAGAATGGCTTTGATGTATTTTCGAATAATATTAAGTATACAATTTTTGATACTTATATACTTAGTTTAAACTTAAAGTACACATATAATACGAGTATTTGAGTATATAATGTACAATATGTGAGATTTACCTAATTTTTATGAACGTGTCTTTAATAGTTTCACGAATGGAGTGGGCTTGTGCTTGAGACATTCGTCTTAAGCTCCGTGCTTCTTGTCTCAAATCTTTTGCTTTTTTCTGTAATACTCTTAGCTGGTTATACATTTCTGGTGTGAGCTGTAAATCTAAAATCGTACAACAATTTAGTATGCACACGTTTTAACCGTAAAATAGTTTATCATGTTATCATTGCAGACTGACCGCTGTACAAATGCCTGTCGTCGTATTGGCCGGGTATGGCAGATGGCTTAGGTGGAGGATGAGGCTTAAATCTGTCTTTTTCTAAAAGTAATTCCAACAAAATAATAAAATTAAATAAATATTGGTGAGCACACGATTAAGTTATACATTATACATTTTATTTATATATAATTTAACAGTACATTATACATCATTATTTTCGAAATTAAAACTTGGATGTTAATATAAAAGGTAAAGTATAAAAATAATATAAAGGTTATATTAAAATATTTTTAAATTGAAATATATTTATTTTGACCATATAATAAAATAATAAAAATATAACTTGTGGTGTACACTTTAGATAGAAGTTAAAATGATCATAACAATGATTTTCGACCACGAGATGAGGTTATACATTTTTGTTTTCTTAATAAATACAAATTAAATGCCAACATGAAACAATGCCATAGGGGCTGTTTTCATATTGAATCAAGTCATTTGAAGTAAGAGGAAGAATAATGAAATTTGAAAAATGAAGTGTTTACTATTTTTTAATGCTAGTTTGGATCAAAAGGGATTTGATCCTTCATTATTTCACGAAAAAATACGAATCCAGGAAAAGAATACATTTATTCTTAAGCTAAGATTTGATTTTTTTACTGTACGAGATAAAAATGTTAGATTACTATTAAGTATATTTATTTTAATGTGTTTTTAAGAACCTAGCATATCACTTAAATAAGAATAACAAAGAGTTAGGCAGTTGTTTATTTTTTATTCGTAAATGTTCTTTGAGATAAATGCGTATTCCGGGTGTTTTTTTTATATAGAAAAAAACGAATCAATAGTAACAGGTAAAACTTAAGAAAGAAAAATACCATTATTTGCGGACTTTGGAAGGATTTCTTTTGTATATATTTATGTTCATAAAATGCATTAGGTAGGTACTTAAAAATGTTTTCGTTTAGGTATTTTTTTTCCGTAAATATTTTATTACTATTCTATTTAACGTTCGACTGGAGGAGTACTGTAGATTATGCAATACATTATATTTTATCACTGAACCACTACACATGCTGCGACATTTATACGATGAGGAGCGATGTTATTATATTGGAAACAACTATAACGGTGAAAACGTACACAACAAATTGTTATTGTGTAACTTAAAATGAACGTCTGCGACGTAAACTATTATACATTATTCTTTCGTATTACATATGAATTATTATCACGCCGAAGTATAATTTAGAATATCGTATTCTTACATTTATAAGACTAGGGTGAGCAGATCAATAAAAAAAGAGAAATGGGTTAAAAAATTATTCTACAAAAAAATTTTTTAATTTTATTCTAATTTATAAAATATAAATAAGTTTCCATTACATTAAGTAATAACAACAAACTGCGATTGAATATAATCTATAAATAGATAAGTTGCGTAAATAAAAATTATAAAAAAAAAAAAAAAAACAAACGTGAATACTAATAATAACCATAGTAATTAATATAAATATAACGAAAAAGGAAATAAAGAGTAAACTAAAGGTAATATACTTAAATATATAATAGAATTTCAAAATTAGTAATACTTTTGTAATTTAATTTAATTCTGGGACAAATCGAAGTTTCGATTAAGATTAACGGGATACCAGAACAAACTTTCAAAAACCGGGAAAATCCTGGAAACCGTCTGAGCATTCTAAATGAAACACATCGTTTATAGTTAATTTAGGATCATTTATCGCAAGAATACTGTACACTGTAGCAGATTTTATTTGAAACTTCAGATTAAATTGAAGTGTATAATTTAAAAAAAAAAAAAAAAAAAAAAAAAAAAGGAAAATCATCGCACCATATACTCAGGGATTTTAAGGAAGATTCTAATAGAAATATTAAAAATATAAAAGAAACAAGTGATCAGTGTCGAAAAGATGTGCGCAATCAAGAATAGTATTAGACAAGTGTCCGGAACGCTGCAAAGAGTGAATAATTTTAAGTGCAATACACGCGTGAAACTGATCAAGCACAGTGAACAACATTTCTGGCTAACTGATTAGTTTTCTGTGGTACGTGAAGTAAATAATATATTTATACATAAGTACGTGTATTTTTATTTTTAATTTTTACCTTGAGACGCTGTTCTAGGCAATGTAGACGATTTAATTGCCGGTTTCGCAGGTTTCGTGTCCGCTATAAAATAAGCAGCGAAATACAACAATAACACAAACAATTGTAGTCCACTCAGTGCTCTCGTTAATAATAATATATTATTATATATGAATAAAAAAATATTATACAGTTATATTTACACGTATGTGTGTAATGTGTGTGTACTGTGTGTGTTACCGGCAATGCGATTATGAGATTGTCTTTGTTTAATATTGTGCACAGTACCTTAACGTTTTATACATTTCCTTAAGACATCGATGTAGGGCAACATAATGTAATGGTTAATTCGTATAATAATAACGTTCTGTACATTTTTCGTTTCTTAAATCAACTCGATAATATACGTGGAGGGACAAGCATACATAATAAGGTGTATTTTTTATAGATATCAATGCATGGGTTTAGGTAACGTACAAAATAGGTATATTTAACCAGGTATAATTAATCAAATTTGTCATTATTAAACTGTTTTCACGTAACAGTGATATACGAATAATGTCTAGAGCAACGAAGATAATTATATTATATAAAACTATGTATGTTACATAGTATGTCCGTACTTCATAAGATGGCAAATATAAATAATATTTGTTTATTTGTTTAATGTGATTTTGTAATTACGTACCGATAATTAGTTACACTCCGGCTTTCTGAACTATGATTATATAATTAGCTAAACTGAATTCATAGTTAGCTGCGTATAAAAGATTTTACCAGACAATAGTCGAAGGTTCTTGTCGAGATTCTAAAGGGCATAAAATAGTAGCTATAGATGTTATATACGAGTGTTATAAGCTTCTAGGTCTAATTATTGAGATCGATAACGAATAATCAAACGTTTTATACTGTCGTCATATAACTAATGGTTATTATCTATAAATAAATATTTAAGCAATGAAGTGGGAGGAGTAAAAGATAATTTATTATAAGCGTTAGCAAATTAAATTAAATTTAAAACGTATTAAGGTATAGTATAGTTCCATAGATTGGTTACCGGCTATTATGGTAAAACAACAATGGGATGTCACGTCCATAATAAAATAATTTTTTAACAAGTTTTTATGGAAAAACAACAATAATAATAAAGAGAATCAAACATTTTTAATTATTACAAGAGTTTATATCAACTCACCCCTTTCTATTTTCATAATTATTGCCATTTTAAACCATGTTTAGCTCAGATTAATAAAACGTTTACTACAAAAGAGTAAATAATTTTAAACGATTTTATTTCTTGGTAGCTTCGAAAATATAATTTTAGCCGTTTCAATTAATTTCATTTTTCCACCAACATATTTAAGTTTGATAGAGATATAGGAATATGTTTACGCAGTATTACTATTTTTTTACCTTTTTATCGCTCCTATTAGGAATTTTAGTTTTTATTCTCGTTAGTAAAATGTATTATTTATTACACGTATTGCATTTGAGTTAAATAAATATATATGCATCAATTGGCTACATGACTATTAACATCGCCGGTAACAAGAATTTATATATTTTATATACCAATACAGTAGATTCTTGATACATCAAAACTTAATGAATTCAAAAAACAATTCGAGGAATTAAATTTTCGACACATGAAAGTTATGGTATAAAAGTTTCCAACGATATTATATTGAAAAATAAAAAAAAAAAACAATTTTATTTTTATCTGATGTAATTATGTATCAACGAAAAAGAGTACATTTCACATTCTTTCGCAATACTTTTTTAATTTTATTGGAAACTGTTGCGAGCGTACAGTACTTGTATGATTTTTACTTATTTTACATTTAAAATGTTAATATAAACACATCGTGACAGGCGAAACCGAAATGCACGAAATCACACTGGAATTATTATTATTATTGTATACATATTATGAAGGCAAATGTATAATATAAATAGATAACTATCCAATATTCCAAAAAGTCGTAAATCATAACAATGCCGATGTACATAAACGGGATGAAAAAAAATTTGAAACTCCCAAAACGTCATAAGTATCATCAAGAATTTATTGCAGTGTATATATTTAATAATATAATACAAAAAATGTGTATAGTTGTGTTATAGTACTGTGTAAGTCAGTATATTAATTTCTCTATAGTATACCTGACAAAAATTTGATATACAATTAGTTCGCGAAAAGGGAAACGGTTTTTATCAAGAACTACGTAATCGAAAACACTAAAAATGAATCTACCTGAACTCTGAGGTGAATGTTGTTTCGGCGAGTTCATGTCAGGTGGCTCGTCGCTGAACGATACGGACTTCTCAAATGAAACTGATTTGTCTGTAATATTATAATAGTACCCGAAGTGTTAATTGACATAAAATCAGCTGCACGGCGATATGTTGATAGTTAAATAATTGTTTTAAAACTATATATATATATATATATATATCAATAAGCGTAATAAAAATATTGTATGTAATATAATTCATAAACATTTATTGATGCGTCATCGCGAATCCGGTTAAGCAAATATATCATTTGTTTTTGAGTGCGAACTCTCTGCAAGTTCTATGACGATAGCGATTTTTATTCATTCATAGAAGCTTAATACTTGAAAAATTTAGAAACGCAACGAAGAATCAATAGTATCCTACTGAAATTAATTAATAACAAGTACCTACGGTAGTGAAAAAAAAAATTGAAAGTTAATAAAGGCTTTCAAATAATATTACGCTCAAGCTCTTAAATATTTTCCAACTAAGTACTAATTCACTTTGCAGTTATTTATCAAACTGGAAACAATTCAAGAAGCCATAAAATATAATCTTACCTTTTGATTGTTGCGTTGTAATTTTAAGGTGCGAGGTTAAAATCAAATTAGTAAATGGATAGTAGGAAGTAAATATTTACAAATCCAAGATGTTTCATAAGCGTCCAATAAGGTAAAAAACCAATACAATAAAAGTTTAACAAGCTAGAAATAAGCGGACAAAATACAAGTAAATATTTCAAAGTACACAGTACACATATATAGTACATACACTACGCATTAGAGTTATAATATGTAAGAATAAACAGTATATATAGCTAACCTCGTCCAAGTTTAGGAGGTTTAGTGTCAGACCGCTTGTATGGTTCCTCTACAAAGCACATTATATTTGGATAAGAATATATTCTAATAATATTTGGTTAAAAATGTACATTGCATAAATAAAATGTTTAGAGACGATGTATTAGCATAGGTCACGTAAGATTTTTATCTTGTAAGGTAAAAAATAAAAATAAAATTAGGTATACAGTATAAGAAGAAAGGATTGATCCAAAAAGCCATTATTGAAGTAACACAATGTAGGTATATATCTATACAGGTATACACATATATGTCACTAGCTATTAGAATATTATGAATAAACGGGTTAGGAAATAAGACAACGTACCTGCCAGAGATGTGGTACTGCCGCTGGAGACTTTATCGAACTCATCACTAGCTGAACCATAATAATGAAAAAAAAGATAAGTGTTAGAGAATGGACATAGAGGGTTACACGCGAAAAACCAAGCAAAACGTGTCAATACGTTTTTTTTTATAAAATATTTATGTGAAATATATGTATATAAATAAATATTTCATTCATGTGTGTGTGTCTATATATATAAATATATTAAATATATATATACACACATATATACAGAGAAAGAATAGATAAATAGATAGTATATAAACATAAATTTACAGACAGATAGGTGATACAAGTATTAATATAATATTAAGATAAAATAAAAAATAGATGATATGAAAAGGTCTGAGGTCATATGCAATGAATAGTATGTGAGTGTGGGTGGATATTTAAATAAAAATATTAAATAACGTTGTGTTTGTATATAGGGGATATTTATAAATACGACATATTACGTTAGGTTGAGTGCTTCAATACATGAAAATATGAAAAATTATAAAAACAAAGTAAAAAAATCTTTGGCGTTGTACCAAAAAATTTCAAATTACTGTACAGAAAAATAATGATAATATAATGGTTTTTACTTTTTTATACAAATTGGTTTGGTATTTAAAACTGGTTGTATGCTTACCACTTCTGAAAGGTGCTGTAACAACCGGCGCGTGTGTCAGGGCTTTCTGAACCAATCCCGTTAGGTTGGCGATCTGTCTTTCCATGTTTTCCACACGTATCCTATAAAACAATTTGCGACAACGGTATTATTATTGATTTGAATTTTGGGTTATTACAATATCAGTAAAAATTAAGGAATAAAATAACTGATCATGATGAAAATAATATAAAAAATAAAAACAAGTAAAAATTATTATAGATTGCTATCCACTCTTTTTTTACATTTTTTTTTTTTTGGGAAAACATAAGTAACAGATTATCCAATCAATATGTAAGATTCTGGACCATTGAAAAATTATTCAAAACTTCTAAACGGGTTAAACGAAGTTCACATATCTTATAATAATTAAACAACATATTACTTCAAGATTTTATCGTGGACATATGATCTAGTTCATGTCATATTTGACAAATTCGATTTAAATTTGTTTATGCGTTTATACCGATCATAGACGTGCGCAGATCCATATTTTAAGAGGTGTCTACAATACTTTTAGGCCCTATCTTAATAAAATATGTAGGTATATTTATTAAATTATAACGTATAAATAATTAAATAAATATAACTTTAATATTTTATTTAATATTGTGGAATGTTAGTCCCAATGAATATGTTTTCCTTGAAGATCATTTATTTTTTCTCAGATAGCTTCAATTATTTATGATTTATACTTTTGTAGTTAATTATAGCCGTTATACTTGTATTATCATAAGAAGTTTTTGCACGAAAATTAAGAATATTTAGTTTTATTTTTTCTATTACGAAAAATTATTAATTTTTTACCAAATATTTTAGAATTAATTTAATTTAATTAGAATAATATCATTTAAATACGGGCGCGTTCCTCTTATACTTAAATTGTAGGACCCCATTTACAAAATTTTGGGAGGTGCTCGGACAGACACAGCGCACGTCTATGGCCAATTTATGTTACAGCGTTATTAAAATGGGATAAAGTGAAAAATAATATATTTACGAGCAATTTTACAGATGGCTTAATCTAATTTTTTTTTTCACCCAACGGAAGCCACAATAAGACAAAAAACGTTAATAATGATTGCTAATCGTCAAGCGGAATCTCGGCTGATAGGAACGACGTAGAGTTTAAAGTTATTGTGTATAGTGTATATTATTCTTAGTAATATTAAATAACTCTTTGAGTAGGGATAATATAGCTGAGACAATGTTCAGACTCATTCATTTTAAACACGTTAACTTAATTAAAGAACAAATAAAGAGTTGTCGAGCGTCTATTATCGTAGATCTAAATTGTATAAAATGCAACATGAAAGTGTATGAAAAACAAAAAAAAAAAAAAAAAATTATATTAAGAACACGCATAACTATAGTGTCGGTAAACGTCCGATAATCATTGCGTCAGGGTTACAAATATACTAATAATCGCAAGCAGAGGATTAACCGTGGTTTTCCGATTGCAAGATGACCGGATTATTATTAGATAATAATAAAACAATCTTGGACGGGTTGCAATAAATAAAACAGCGGGAAACAAACACAAACAGATCGTCTACAGGTACGTCTATCATAGTGTAAAATAAACGTGTTACACACGACTTGAATTATTGTCGTTGCGTGTAAAACAAAAACACCACTATAAAACAGGCACAAGCAATACTATCATAATTCACTGCAATAGGATGCACAAAGGATCAGCGAAAAAATAAATAATAATAATAATAAAAATAGAAAAAGAAAAAGTTTTACAAAAAACAAACTACCAACAATTAACTTAACGGAAACACACGTGAACACGGGTTAATTACACGTAAAAATAATATTATTCAAACTACGACACGGTACAAAACGTTAAAAAACGTGCGCGTGCTGCGAGTTACATGTTGTACCTGGTAGCGTCATAAGGGACGGTCGGCGGGTTGCCGTACGTCGATCTTTTGGATATCGATGGTTTCACGGTGTACATACTAAACGGGTCTTCCATTAGCTCGTTGTCGCTGAATAGAGCGAAGTCGTAGCCGGTGGTTGGCACGGCGGCGCAATGAGGAGGAGGAGAGGAGAAAAGCGCAACATAATACGGCAGTGTTAGTAAAACATAATATAATCGTGCTAAACGTATGCTATATTGCATTATAATATTGTTTTATTCTAGTTGTATTACAATATCGTTTACAGTATGTTCGAAATGTTCGGAAACAGTTAGAATTTAAAAAAAACCCGCGAGACGTTCTCAAAACTTTTCGAACACCTGTTATCGTATACACAATGTACATTTGGTACGTACTAAATAGAAGGACTGGCGGTAAATTTTTTCAACTACCGGTCATCGTTATAAGAAATGTCGCGATTACCGGTTTTAACGATAATCGGAGACATCCATAAATCAACACTTTGGGGCTTTTTTTCGAACACAGAAAATTAGTGATATGTACAATTTTTTTTTTTTTTTAGAATATCTTACATAATAACTGTGTGTGTTTATTTATTTCTGGTTAATATCCACTTTGTTAATTTATTTTTTATTTTCTTTCACTGATGCAGTACAGTAACTTAATAATATTATCATCATAGTAATTCAATATACTATTTTGCAGTTTTTTTTTTCTATATTTATAATGTTTAAAATATTTCCGCAATCCAATATTATATCCTTGTGTACATTCAACAAAGTAAATATTATTACACTAAAGTAAAATCATGTATAACATTATGGAAGTTTGTTTGGATAGGCGAAAAACTGCTTTGTGTGTACGTCCTAATTGCAATTACTATTGGTAATAAACAGATCTATCGTTTAATATTTAAATGTGTTTATTTTGTTTCAAACTATTTTTCTTCAAAAAATATGTGTTCGTTTTCGTAAAAAATATGTTTATTTTATGATTGGTTTCTGAAGAAAATAATAATTGATTCAAATTTTTTGGATTTTGTATTAATATACTCGTGATTCAAGTTCTTTTTAATGTACTGTTTTTATGGTAATAATTGTCTCAGTATCTAACCTAAGACTAGGTATTTTAAGCAAATAGTAACCAGTATTCTCGGTAACTATTTGAAAAGCAGTTACCATCGCAAATTAGATAAACAAATATACCAGAAAATAAATTTCGAATACAGCCACCGTACCATTTAATGAGGGTTGAAAAATTATGGTAAAATATGAAGAAATAGAATTATCAAAATATACAACGGGTTTAGTAAACTTAAATCGGTCATAATATAATCATTTAATAATAGGAGTACAAAATAAATGATTTGTCAATACGAAGAAGGGCTGGCTGGCTGTTATTGTTCGCGTTTGTCCGTGCGTTATTATATATATATATATACTATTTATTATATATATAATATACAAGTACGTATATACACACAAGAGTGCGAGTGTTTCTTAACGAGCATGTAGTGTACAATGAAGACGTACGTTAAACGCATGTGGCGAATATGTAAAATGAAGTGTGTTTATGTTATAAATCAACTCGGATAAAGTTCGAACGAACCACTCGTCGCGAACTCGGAAACACATCAATACAACCGCGAATGTGTTGACGGATTTTCAACGGACTCGAGAACAAATTGTGTGCTATTTGTAAAATACACAATATATGCATAATATTTATAGGATTGTACGCACATAAAGACTGTTTGAACCCGACGAATACAAAATGCATAACCTTATTGAAGCGCATGATATAAACGCACGCAGTACCCAACCGTGAAGAATGCTACAGCAGAAAGCGAGTTGTACACGGCGGTGTCTATTTTTATTATGCATACGTGAAAACTTCGAAAATATTATTTAAATATATTATAATTTGAGAGTTGGCCTCAACATTTTGGCCAACATTTCAATAAGTTGGAAAAAAAAATAACGCGACTTTATCAATTTTTGAAAATTCGATGCGAAAAATAAAAACTAATAATATTTACGATTGTTTTATGATTAAATAATATGTTATATAAAATAAGCAGCGTGAAAGGGGATTAGGAAAAAAAGGGGTAAAATTCCTAGATTGGATGAGGTACAAGTTTGGGTATTACTCAATTTTTTTTTTATTAGTCAATAAAAGATGTGTAAAAATGTGGAACTTTATATTAATTACCAAGATATTTGTCAAATCAAAATGATAGTAACAATATTTTTGATAAATATTTAAGGAAACATTTCAATTTTCTATAAAAAAACTCAACAAAATCTTTTAACCAGTGAACATTTTAAGTCTCCAAGACTATTACTTTTTTTGAGTTACGATGAAAACAAATACGATTTTGTCGAAATTGTGGACTCGAAAACTAGTATGTTGTAAATTTTTCTGTTTGAAACTTTATAAAAATTAACATTTTCAAAGTATCAACCAGAGTGCACTTCTTATCAGACATATGACTGTTATGATAGAAGCAATTGCAGCAAAAGCAGATTAATTTTTCTGGTTGAAATCGTCTATACAGATACAAAAAATAATACCATTACATTCCTCATCTCACTCAGAATTTTAAAACTAAAACTTTATAACTTTAGGCTACTATTAATTACCAAACTAAAAAAAGCTACCAAACTAGAATACTAAAAGACTACTCTTTGTTAACCTAATAACAATTATATTTTTTGTATCTAATAATATTTATATTAATATAATGTATAAAAATAAATCTTTTTACAATAATGGAATACTTTGAATATTCATATTTTGTCTCAACAATAACATTTTAAAAAAAATAACAAAATTAAATAAAAATAATTAAAATCTCTGTATTAAAATAAAATTTAAATTATTAATTTTTATGTATTCATATATTTTGTAATAATTGGTATTTATTAATAAATATATTTTTGTACTAAAAAATAAATTGTCTTTGGTTTAATTATTCAGTTTCATTATGATAAAAAATAAATTAATTTTCCTATTGTGTAAATTGCCAATATTTTGTTCATAATTTTATAAAATGCCTAGTTATTATATAAAATATCTATGAAATGCATGTAAAAATATAAAAATTATATACTTCTTTAAAGACGACTGGGTACTTCATAAAACTCCTAGTCATTATATAAAATGCCATGATTATACAAATTGTTGCTTATATTTATTATATTCGATAGATCGTTACAAAAATCATTCTTCTTTTAAAAACACAATGAAAAGTCTAGGCAACGCAGAACCCAGAAAGAGCAACCCGCGAATAAAAATAAACCACATTTAATTCGAAAATATATGAAAAATTGCATAATCAAACCAAAAATAATCAATTAATTAATAATTTTAAAATAATAAGAATTTATTTACTATAATTCTAACAAAAGATATTGATTTCCACAAAACATGTGGTTTGAATAACACAATGATGAGTAACGAATTTTGAGGGTAAAACCATATTACGAAACATTTTCTGGTAACATCCGTGTTGGTAAATTTTTAACTAATTTTATTATTATTATTATTCGTTAACAACCAGTTTCAAAAGAAGAAATCAATTATATTTATATAGGTATACATTGATTCACTCAAGTATAGTTAATATACTGCGAATATGAAATTGTGGTACATTTCTGACACTAACATTTTATGTGTGTATATATAATTTTAGTGGGTGTTGTTATTTTAAAAAGAAAGTTTTGTTTGGCGTTTTATATCATTAGATATTTATTTACTCAGTAATAATGGTGTTGTATTCATATATTACGCTAATAATATTATGATGTTGACACAACTAAGTATCAACATTAAAATACGACTATGGGGTTCTAAATGCGCGTTCTTAACCAGTTACTTTAGTTGTCGGGCGCATGGAACGCGGATTATAACTACTATAATAAAATATACATGGTTTTAAATTATTTATGTTAATGGCTCTGTGTATTTTTCAATTTGCAGAAAACCGGAAGTGTCATGCCATCATGACGTCAGTATCAGAACACCATACACGTTGTAACGTTTTATGTAGTAAAAATCGTGTGTGTGTGTGTGTGTGTGTGTTCGTACTCAATCGAATTGTCATCGTACGGTACAATAAAATTAAACGGATGAATTCAGTAGCGGTCGACATTAATTAACAAACGCGTGTTCTATATATATATATATATATTAGTAAACACTAGAAGCACCGGAAGACGGTTTGTTTTTCAAAAGCGGTCTATTAAAACGAAATTAATTTACGACTTGAGTAGCTTCTACATAGACACTCGTCCGGACACGAGTCTACCATTTCTATATATTTCTATGTATATATATATATATATTGGTAATGTGCAGTTGTTGTAAAACTGGATACGTGCACACAGTGTAATGGGCGTCAGAATTTTTAAAAGGAGTATACACATGTATATTGCACACACAAATATAAATATATGAACGCGTACAGAAGAGGCAAAACAAAAACGATGACTTTCTCCTCGATTTCACAGACAAAAACCCGACGGACGTGTAGTGTTCATCTTTTCGAGATTGAAATACGTATATATATATATATATATATATATATATATATATATATATTAAGTGGTATATTGTATTATAACTCGTCTGCCTGACAGAATATTACTGTATCGAATGCACATTTTATTACGATAAGACCACACGAATACGCCATGCGCGCAGTGCCCGTGGATTTATTTTCATATGGACGTCGTATAGGTATACCTCTACTAAATACGAGATTCCCGAATAATTGTTTTTCGCGCGATCCAACACAATAACTAATAGGATAGAGACGATATTATTTATCGGAAACCGGAGCCACTATATATATATATATATATTACAATATGTTTACAAGCGTGTAGGACGACCCGACGTAATGGAAATTACAACGAGCCGTATAAAAGGTAAAAATGTTGTTATTGACGAACATCGGCGGCGGTCGGTTAGACGATTGTTTGGGAAGATAAAATAGAAATATATGAGCCTGAGTCGTCACCGTCCTAATAGTTTTATACCGCAATAACCACGCGTAAGCCGTCCGAAAGATGGTTTTTACGGCGGTAAAGTATATACTTTTTTTTTTTTTAAAGTATACTCGTACATACATACATTATACATAGAGTGCAGATTTTTTTTCCCCCTCGCAACAGGACGCGCGTACTTTTATTTATGAGAATACGAATTGCTAAAAAAAAAAAAAAAACTCGGATCGAAAAAATCTCATCACGAGTCACCACATCACGACGATCACTACACTCGATAACGTACACGTTGACACACGATACCCTGTGGGTATACGTCGCTCAAGTGGGAGATTGTGGTGACGACGACGCCATGTACTCGTATATGAATATTGATGATTTACTTTTTAAATTTTTATTTATTCGACACAGTGCGACGCGTCGAAATAGCAGCCGTCAATAAAAACATGCGTTTTGAGTAAAAATACTGATAGTTACGAGCTATATATAATATATATATATAGGTTCAGGTTCGAATTCTAATCATATCTTAAGGATAAGTGAGTTTAATTTTCAAATTTTTCTGTTGAACTATTATTTTAGTACAGGATGACATATCTTCGAATAATACTTTTGAGTTTCAATAAGCAATAGCATTTTATAACTAGGTACTTGTTCTCATCCGCAGAACAAGAATTAAAAATAACACATTATGCGCTGAATTTATTCACGAAGGAAAGATAATTAATAATTATTAATAATTAAAATATAAATAAACGTATTATAATTATTAATAATAATTACTTCAATTAACTTATTTATTCGGTAATATATTTTTTTTGTTTTTTTACATTACTTAACAAGCGTGTGTAGATTGGAGGCTCGAAATATAGTATAAAAATCTTTTTGAAGTCTCTATATCAGTAAAACTACTCATCAAATTTCATAGTCAAAGTTTTAGTGCTTTCAGCAAAGCGATTTTTTTTCATATTTACTTCTTATCCCTTTTTACCCTTAAGGTGTTGAATTTTGAAAAGCCTTTTCTTATTGCACATCTAGAGTGTAAGAGAAACCACTAGGTCAAATTGCAAGTTTATATGATCTATCATTTTTATGATAGATCATATAAACTGATGATGATGAGTAGCGATGTTCAGTTAGTGGTATTTGGTTTATGTATATATATTATGTAGATTATATGTACCGAGATCGGTAGTATAAATATTAATTGTATAATATGGTATTTTTACAGTAATAGTAAGCGTGCGAGTCCCAATGACACACGCCACGATCGTAGTCGAAATCCGATTGAAAAAGGATGAACGTACCTTTTATAGGCAGTTGCGTAGTACACCTCAATACTTACCAACAAGAATCGTATACCTAATAATATTATCTGCGTGTGTATCTTATTGCATATAAGCAACCACTGCACGTGCTCGCACCATGACACAACATGTACAAATAATAGCTAATTTACCGCAGTCGACTGTTGTAATTCGATGATTAGTAATTTCCCCTCTTATGTTTTATAACTAATTTTGTTTATCGTACTGGACGTAAATATAAATAATTATATACACGTTAAGACGAAGGAGGTCCGCAAACACGTACCTCTTGTGATTTTCGACGCATCATAATTATATATCATTCGTGTTATTAGGTGGTTAGTTGCATTTATTATCTCATTAAATGTGAAAAATAATACCGACGACGTAGACGAAATATCTCCAAATAAATAAACCCAGTAGCTATTCGAAATCTGACTTGGACGCAAATCAGTATATAAAATTGGAAAGGTTAATTTTTAATAGTGATTTTTTAAAATGCAATTTAAAAAAAACCGAGAATTGGGTGAAACTGGCTGTGGTGATACGTTATGCATAATTTAATTTAATATTAAAAACAATAATAAATCTAAAAACTAGACGCTTAGATCGATAAGCTAATTTTAAACATTTTAAAGAATCATTTATTTAAATCATTTATGACCATTTTTTTTTTTTTTTTAACGTACAATTTAAAAAATGGTTTTTTTTTATTAAAAGTAATTTTAATTAATTTTATATTATTTTATATATTTCCTGCTTTTCAAAATTTTTATCATTTTTATGCGTAGTAAATGTTCATTAATCGAATTCTATAAATTACATTAACATTATTCACGTTAAGATTACTTTAATTCAAATGTAAAAAATTGTTAATAAGAATAAAATAAAAAAGTCTGACTTCTCGATTACGGATATATCTCTTTAACTATATAATGTATTATAGCATTTACTGCAGTCGGGAATAATTTAAATTCGTTGAAAGTTGTTTACGTTCACCATTGTTACCTCATCACTTGTGTCTGTATTTATTTTGGTTTTAAGAGTTTGTTATTTATCAATTGTTTTTATTGAAATTTTATGGTATCGAAGAAATGATTCCAGTATCTAGACAGGGCGGTTCAAATATACAATAAAATTTTTTAAGTTTTGTAAATTACTAAAATGTTGATGTATTATTATTACGCTACGGAGTTGTACTACTATTACTGATTTGCAACGTATGTATACATACATTATATAAGATTATTGTGCCAACTTACGCATTATCTTTTCGAAGAGATTAACAACAATAACAATAAAAATACTGTTTATAATAATAATAATACAATTATTGTGTAATATTAAAGTTATAATAACAAAGGGAATCACCAATTCTACATTATTCTAGTTATCTTCAGATTTTCATACGTGATTTCAAATTCAAATAATTTTGAAAGTACAGTTCCAAATTTTGACTCTTACGTTAAAAAAAAAAAAAAAAAAAAAAAAAAAAAGAAACGGAATAAATTTAATATAAAATTAATTTTTCTATTTGAAAAACAAAAGTTGATATTGGTACAGGATATATTATACATTTATACATGGAAAGATATAGTTTTTAAGAATATAAATTATCCAAAATCAGAATTTGAAAAAATGAATAATTTAAGCACAAAAAGGATATTTTATGAATCACATTTTAAAGTACTGCTTACCGGATAACTGTAGCGTAAGTGTTTGTAAGTATTCGTTCATTATGAATTATATGAGTTCCTATTCGTTCCGGGTATTCATTATGAATACATAATAATTATTCAGAATACCTTTTTTTTAATAACTCTCATCCCAGATTTTTTGAATTTTTCCGGAATGTAAACAGAAATAACAAAAATATTTATTTCTTCTTACGTAACATGTTATAAAATATTTCACTCAATGAATACGTAATATTTCTATTAATACAGACATACTTATAATATTGATAACTTTAAAATCCCTATAAATAAGTTTAACTATAAATAGACTAACCATAAATAGTTAGCCATGTTGGAGATTATAAGTTGACATTAAATCATCTGTTCGCCAAATATTAATAAAATATTCAAACTTTCTAATGATTACTCGATGTTTTAGTATAATAAACATTTCATTTTATCGGATGGTTAGATATGATATATATATATGTATATATATATATATATATATATGATATAAGCGTAAAATCAAAATTGTATTTTTTATTATAACTCTACTGGTTATCATTCGTTACACAATACAATGTAATTAAATAAATATTTGTTAGTTAGTTTTGCAAAGTGAATATAAATATTTCGAATTTACCTGGTTTCTTCGTCGATAACGGGTGTGATAGACCCCGTCCTGGGGCCATAGCCATAATAGGAGTTTTCATCGAATGATGAACCTCCAGGCGACATATATGGAGGTGCTGTGTATCCTGATCGAGAGCCAGCCCTCTCTGGTGATGACATGTACCCTGAAATATTTTAGTTATATATTATTATATTTCTCTTACATTTATTCAAGTTATAGAAATTATGTTGAGTTAGTGAACATCTTTGTTCGCTTAGTTTAAAAGTTACGCCATTAGAAGATAAGTACTACAACTACTCAGAATTTAATAAAGTAATAAAGTAGTTTGTTTGTAGATTACACCAAGTTTATATAAGTAGAAATAAAATTATATAATGAAAATTGGAGAATCTAATGTTAGAAACAGAATAGAACTACACGCACTAATAATTGTTTTTTAATAGTTTTTAATATAAAAAATGTAATTCAATTTAAAATTATAGTTGATATTTTTAAATTTAGAAAGTTTTTTTTTGAAAATTAATGAAATGTTATAAAAATATGGGTTTTAAGTTAGTATTATCTTTATCATATAAAGTAAAAATAATTTTTTCATTTTCAACGGTAGTTGCATGTATGTGTATACACACAACTAATAATGGATAATTTTTATAGTATCATAATTTACACAATTTCGATTCAAACTCATTCGAACAAAAATTGAAGAATAAGATCCGTATAAGATGCACTATTTATTTATGTATAATAAATTAATTTTTTAAGTTCTGAAACTATTATGACAACAATTTTATCTAAAATTTTATTTTTTTTCTGATAACTCGATAAACTAACTAATAAACTAAATTCTAATGAATAACATAACTTTTTTAATAACGAAAAGTTAAATATTTGTAAAATTATACGAATGTATTTCGTTAAATGTTAACGTATAGATGGGTCAAAAATGTTGAAGGCAATAATGCCACAAAACGTCGAAAAGTAGAACACTTTCGACCCAATATCATCAATAAGTGCATAATCATTCGTATTTTTATTAATTTCTAAAGTATGTTAAGGAGCTCGTTTGTTCAAAGAACCAGCTGACTCAAAATTATTCACCAAGAAAAACTCCATTATGGTTTAACAAAGTTCTACGACTCATTAATCCAAAATTTCGATAAGAAAAGTAATAACCACTGAACAGCAACTTCGATAAAATACATTTTATTTCGAATATGATATGTTGTACGTTTCAAAATTTACTATAGTAAATTGTATTTTATGTTAATAAGCATTTATGTAATTACAGCACCTTAGATCTAGAGTTTCCTTTCCAAGAAAACATTAAACTATTATACAATTTAAAACCAAATCATTATCGATGACACACGTGTATTATTTTATAACTAATGTTATCTTAAATTTAAATTGATTGTTTATCATGTATTTAACAGGTTGACCTCCATGAGACTCTTTTTGGGGGGCTCACTAGTTTTCTCCCTGAGGCCATGGTATTTTTAATGTGATTACTCAAATTTGATTTGAAAAAAAAAATGATTGGATTTTGCTGGAAATTTAAATATGGGTTCAGTATCAATTATATGACTGATATACAGTTATGTTGGACAAATTCTAGCTGAGACCCTTAATAGATTCTCATGGCGGTGGTGAGTAACATATAAAAAATTGTTGATTGTTCCTAACAAACTGAGATACCAAATAGGTTCTCAAAATAGTAATATTGTAATAATATTTTCATTCCATTAAATTTAGGATATTCGATTGTATAATATAATTTTTTAGGAACTTGAGGTTAGAGGTTTACATGAAAAATAATAAAAATTTAAAAAGAAACATTTTCCTTAGGTGCACTACCTTTTAATAATAATAAGTAATATTATAACAGTAAGATAAAACAAATTTAAGTACTTTAGTACCCAATAGTTTAACAGTGAAACAAACCAATACAATTTTTTTAAAAAAAAAAAACGTTATCGATTCATTTTTTTATCAAGATGAATATTATCAGTAGTTATGATATACAAATTGGAATAGTAAGATAATATCACAACCTAAAACTGAAACCATAAACATGACCAGATGACTTCATTGGTATCATCATTCATATAGTTATCGATAAATTTAATTTAAAAATTAACAAATAAAGATAAACGTTCGCTAAAAACACCAAATTATAGTGGTCACACTGTAGAATCCGATTCTGCAATAAAAACTACGACAACTGAGACTCTATTCGGAATATCGGCGTATAAACCTATGTAGTCATTGAGATTACAAAAAGAGTCTCAATAACGGTTTTGAGTAACTTAGCTGAGACCCCAAATAGAGTCTCATGGCGGCTATGAGTAACCCGAAAGAAAACACATGGCGGTCAACCTGTTAAGAATATTATGAATAAACGATAAAAATTAGATAGCAACATTACAATGTTACAATTATTATCACAGCTTTTAAAAAATCTTGATGTTTCGTGTGCTGCAAAATTGTTAAAGAAAACAAAATTATTTATTTTTTAATGAAATATGTAGTTTAATTTAAACTTTTGATTAAAACTACAGTTATAATTATTAAAATATGATGTTGTTTACGTAACTACGTAAGTAAAAGTAACCATGATAAAGGACATTTATTTTTTAGTAATTAATATTTAAGTATAATGGTATGCGAATGAATTAACGTAGACGAATGGAACAATGCCATAATATAATGAATGTTCACACTCTACCTTATATTTAATGAACTTAAAGTTTTCTTTTATTGAAAAAACCTACAATCGATACAAATATATATGTACAATGAGCAGGTTTAATGTGCGATGATTATAAAATGAATGGTGCGTATAGTATGAGTTGTGGAATTACCCAGTGGTAACATCCAGTACGTTTATTAATTATTGCTAAAAGTAACTTATAATGGGTAATTTAAAAGTAATTTATAATGGATAACTTACAGATTAAAATCGAATCTTTAAAATAAATTTAAAGAATTAAATTATAAAGACGTCGAGAAGATAAATTCAAATCAAACCGAACGATGTTGTGTTGACATATTATTAGTTACCTACGTAATACAATTTAAAAACTAAATGTGGCACTGCACCACAGAACTTTGCCAGAAAAAATAATAAAAAAATAACACTCAAGTATATAATTCGAGAATATAAATTATACATCTAAAGGAATTTCCAGGAGACAATTCGATTTACATATATACTGTTCGAAAAAATCAATGAGGGTATATTGAAAACAAGCCTGCTGTTATGCATTGTAACCAGCAGTAGCTCATTGCGTGCTTAATTATTAAGTGTGAATATAATTAAATGTTTTGAAATTAAATCAAGCGTTTAAAGGTTATGCGAATTCGATTTTATTTCTATACAGCTTGCGAGACGGTGGTAGTCTGAATGCACGAGTCTCCGTAAGGGTAGCCTCAGGAGTCATTGAATACGTATATATATATATATATATATATATATATAAATATTTTATGGACATTTTTTTCAAACAACATTGCCATCGTCATCGTTGTCGTTTTCGTGCTCCGTCCGTCCGCTCAGGGGAGAGGCACGTGTAGCCTAAACCATAACTAATTTCGAATAATTAATAGGAGCACGACGAACAAGGGTTAGAATAATTAAACAACGGGTTCGTTTTGAATAAACCGAATTACGTTAGCGTGTCGCACAAACTTGTAACAACGGCTCGCTGACCTCGAGAAACCTATAAGCGTTCAATGTTGGCCAGGCACAGACTCCGACCGCAACAATGGACCGTGGTGAAAAACCTCACGTGTCCCCATAGCATATAATGTCGTCGTATAAAGAGCAATTTTAGAAGCATTCAAGAAAAATTACCCCCCGCCCTCACAAGTAAGAAAAACCTTCGCCGTGACGTAACAAATACAATCGCAGACGTAGGTATCATTATTAATATTATTACTATCATTATTGCATGTTTTAATCGAAATCGATTATATTTTTACCATTCTTATTTTTATTTCAATTCTTATTGAATAGTTGTTATTTATATGCGATTTTCGGATAATGATTATTTTCATAATAAATGTACGCGGAAAATATACACGTGTAATATTCTATATTTATTATTTATATATTATACGAATGCAGCTGTCTAGACACAGAAACAAAAGTAAAAGAAACCATTTTCTTTAGGTTCTGGTAGTAGGTACGCGACGAAAGTGATCGATCAAAACCATACATTCGAATATAATATTATATACACACAGGACAATTGTCATCGGAAATATTTTTGATAGGTAATATGCGAAGGTCGGGTTTTGGTAAATCGAAAATTTGATTAAAAATATCAATGCGCGGCCACGATACGTATATACGAGCACGCCCGTATATGATAATAACAAACGAACTTCGCTCTCGAAACCAATATATCGTATTGTTTTGTCCGAGACCTTTTTAACGCCCGTCATCTAATGCCGTCAAGCTCGGTTTGACAGAAATAATAAGATACAAATAGTCGACGTGTTTACAATATATTATAATATTATAACATTCTGTGCAGCGTTGTGGGTATGCATCCAGTTATTCGGTGTTTGAAAAACAAAATAAAATATTACGTTTCAATGTTGTTCTGATTAATGGTCGAATATAATCAGTATTACACGGATCAGAGACTGTTGCAACAGTCGGATACGTGGTCGGACGAGTACGACGTAGGGGTAGTACACCGTGTGTAATACCCCACGGACACGGCGGCACGGAGAAAGATGTTATTATATTATTGCACGCGGAGGATCTCGCAGGGCTGGCGGGCAAAGGTTAAGAAGAGAGAATTTGATAAATATTTAACCATCCGTACATTCTTTTGACGGTCAGGACGCGTGAAACCGTATTAACAAAAACTTATCTAAATGGAACGATCGTAAATCTAGCGACTGAAACCGACCACCATAAATCACGCGTACCACATGACGACCTGGGTTAAAGGTTCTAATGTGCAGCTCTCATATTGCGCGCGTACATACCGCGTACATGAACATCGACGCACTAGAATTGCAAGGCAAAGATCGAGCTCGGGGTCAGCTGTTCGACCAGTCGGCCAGTTTATCCACAAATTGCGTTTTATTCGCTGTTGTACATCATTATCTGATCGGGTTACGCGGACTTACAGCGATCCTGGTGCAGTAGCCAAAGCTGAAACAGTCAGTGACGTTTGCTGCAGTGGCGATGTGTTTATATAGACATGCGAGGAGACATAGTAATCATCATAGTGAACGAATTGACGGCATCCCAAAATAAATAAGCATAATTTAGGTTTTTTCCCTTTCATGTTGTGAATTAATCATAATAATATTATGATTTGAATTTTTTCTTCTTCTGTATTCATACTATTACAGAATCACTCCAAGAGTTAGTTACGTAAATGTGGGGATTGCTGTAGGGCTTCTGCACGCACTGGGCCCGTCCCGAAATTCGGCTCCGAATGTGTTTACGCACTTCCCACTGTTTTATGTTACATTATTACTTTAGTTCGGTGACGATGCATTTTAAGATATTCGTAACGCTTTCGTAATATGTGTAATATATTACTGTACAAGAGGGTTTGCTGTGCACGAATGTCGTCCGTAAGCAACGATTACGAAATTCCGATTACGACTAATATTAACATATTAAATACGATAAATTACTAATACAATAATATTATCTATGTCTGTGTGTAAAGGGAACTTACTAAGTATGTAAGCTATGTACTATTATATACATTATGATGCCATATAATATTATGGACGTAGCAACTATGACTCGGCGACGCACACCCATTCTACACGAAAGCCGTTAGAAAACGTGTTGTAAATATTTTTTACTTTAATAATTTAATACCTAGAAAAATGCATCATTTTTTTTTGACACATTGTAGTTACGCGTTGTTTAATACTCAGTCCCTCTGCGCTTTATTCTATTTCGCACTATGATTTTTTACCCGTTCGCCTCCGCGAAATAATTTATATCGTATTAATAACGTATAGCGTGTGTATTCCAAAATATTTTAACCACCGTTGTTTCTGGTAGACGATTTACACGATATTCTGATTATTATTATTTAAAATGTATCAACTACTCGACATACATCCTTTTTATTTTGATAAATTTTATAAATTTAAAATGCACAACTGTTCTTCTCCGTTTGAATTATGGACATCGTTTACTGAATGAATATCGAGGGACATATTTAAGTATTTCGATAGAATTAGATTATTACACGACAGTCGTCTTGTTAATGTTTAATGTTTACACATTTGGATTATAAATAAAAGAAAGATGATTGATTGTTCCAGTGAATGAATTGTCTGTATTTTCGTATTGCTTATTTCTAAGTTTTCAATTAGTACGCATTAATAAAAATACGTTATATAAAAAAAAAAGCGTTAATTATACGCGTTGAAATCGAGAGGTATAAATGGAATATTTTATTCATCAAAAGGTTTATCTATCAATCGGATGCCTCTACCTCAAAAGAATGTTTATATACGTATCTTATAATATTGTTGTCTTTGTAAACTTCCAACACAATTGCACAAGTAAACGATAAACGTTTCGTAAAAACAATAAAATACAGCTCTAGACGAAGAACAATAATAATAATAATAATAATAATAAATTCATCTGAAATTTGTTTCATTCAAACGAATCGAGTTGAAAAGGTAAGTAGCTTTTGCTCAAAATTAATTTCGTTGTACAAACGACTTTTGATCTTTATGCCCTACTGGTTCACTATATAGTATTTACACTGCGGGTACATACTCGCGACGGAAAGGTCTTTTTGACTTTTGCTCGCCTTTGAGTGACGTTAAAAATAAAACGAAAACATTACTTTATTTTTTAAACGCTGGTTTTTAGCTATACAGCGTTTTATGATAGTAGAAGTTGCGTTTAAATTATATAACTATCGTATAAATGCACATCAGGCGGGAATATTCGGTCGTTTGTTTAATATTGCATCTAACAATAATATCTTCTTGAAGGAATAAAATCGCTTAGGCAAAAGAATCGAAGGAAAAAATACAGTTGAAATGTACGAATATTTCACCGGGGTAGGTTTAGTTTTTTGTTTTAAGACTTTCTCTCCGTCCCATAGCCCCGTACGAACGCACTGTAGTCAATTTCGTATCAGCCTCAGAACGTACCTGACGATTTGTTAGCAGCCACAGGCGGTATGGCAGGTGAATACGTTCTGGCCGGTATGGACCCGGTGGGCGGCCGGCCTCTGTTGGGTAGTGTAGCCGACGATCCTGGCGGGAACTGATGGGTCATGTAATACGGTTGCCCTGGCGCGCCGCCGCTAGTACATTTACTTCCCTGGAAAAAATGGAAAAAAAACCATTACGTTTAATGAACATGTACATATATTGCAGTGTAAACTTTATCGTAATATTTGTGTAGGATTGGGTATCGATTTTGCGATTTTCATATAATTAGAAAACGCTTTCACATCTAAAAATACGATTCAATAGAATTTAAATTTAATAAATACCGATTCTTATTGTGGAATTTTTTATACTTTCAAATGTTTTCGACAAAAAGGTGATGTTTAAATAATTTTCTCGGTAATTGAGGAATAAATCATGTTTTTACGATTAAGAGACGATTATACATTTTCCAAATCTGCTCTTAAACTATAAAAACTTCTTAAATCAAGTCTTTAATTCATCAGTTATAAAAATGATTCAATGTTATCGTTTAAAAATAAATACATACAAAACTTAATTTAAGGTTAATTTTTATAGATTTGCTTGAGTATCGACATATGTAGAGAAATAGTAGGTATGTTAACAAATATATTAATCAATTACAGACTAATACAATAAAATTTAAGTATTGTAGAACGTGTACGTGTTCTGTCCAAAAAATAGATGTCGTAATAGTATTATAATATAAAAGTAGGTGTTCATGAATGTGTGGGGATCCGGGGGTCCTGATAATTTAAATTAAAAACATAATTATTGGGTCATATATAATAGGTATATACACGTCACACGTTATAAATTATAATACGTGTTAGGATGAAATATCGTTTTGCTTTCTAAAAAAAAAAAGTTATTATTCGTCTTTATTAAAATAATAGTACCAGTACACTTTTAATTAAATATATTATTAATAGCCTAACAGTAGAGATATTAATTTTATATCTCGTTTTATAATTACTATTGTTATACGACTGTGTGATTATATTGTTATGTTAATTGACGAAAAATATACGAGCCCAAATTATCAAGGTGTACACGGGAGCCTTGTTATACAGTTTTATTATAATAGTCACAAGCAACGCGTAAGACTAAAGACTATATGTTCGGGACTTCATACTCATAATTATTATGAGCGCAGGCCCGACATCATATTTTTCCCAGATAATTTCGTTTCCTTATAGATATTAATCCCCGCCCATCTCTTAATTAAAACATTTCCACGATTAAACTATTGGTTTCGAAACTCACTATAGTTATTAATTACTATCATCATTGCTGTTGTTGTAGTCTTCGTCTTCGTTATATACAGCTCAGTAAACTGCATCAGTTATGATTCTATACTGTCATAGGACTTCCTAATTAAATATACATTCTAATGAATTGTTGATTCATAAGACAATTCCGAATATATACATATATGTTCCGTTGTTAATATCAAAGATTAGACCGGCGACGTGACGCTCTTGAACGGTATTTTCTCGGATATTTGACATAATATTATTAACTACATTATCGCCGATACGTATACTACTGACGTCGAAATTAACGGTTTTCACACAAGAAATAAAACCACATTTTGGAAATAAAAAATTAATTTAGGTCAAATTGCGGTGTTCGAAAACGTAACAGATTGTTTAAATATAAATAATATATTATAAAAATAATTATTATACTTCAAACTTCGGATAAATGATCATTAGATATGCCGCTTATTATAATTAATGTTGTGTGTGGTAGACGACATTTTTGATAATATTTTCTTGAACTAATAGGTAAAATTATTGAAATATGCTTAAAATCTCACACGTATATACATTACAGCCGCATTGTATTAAGCTGCGAAAGGTTAATTCAGTGCAAAACTGGAATAGATTTTCAAAAAATTAAATCCAATGTTAATTTAAATATAAATATGCTTATTTCCACCATTAAAAAAATGTTATACATGTGTATAAGAGATGATACATCTATATTCTATATCAGTGGTTCCCAAACTGTTGTGCTTCCAAGGGAGGAGCAAGCATTTATTGGGGAAGGCGCAAGGCAAATATTAGAATCTGAGCGGAGCGAGGAATGTAATGGTTTATTTATATTGTGTATTACATTATCTTATATTTATTTTTAGATCAACTGTAATTTGCTTTTATTAAAATAATAAAAAAGTATATTTTGTTTATCTATGGGAGGAGTATTTATATATTTTTTTTTTTTGGTTTAAGGGTGCGTGAACCAAAAAAGTTTGGGAACCACTGCTCTATAGAATCGCTAAATGTATTCAAAGTGTAAATCTATGAAAAAAATCAATCGTTTCATGGTAAATTAGTTATTTCACACATTTATTGATCAGGGTATATATAATATTTAGACGATAACAATAATTGGGTCACTTTCGTCGACGAGAAATTAATACCTAAATTCGTAAAGCTATATACAATTTTGAATGACATTGGTTTCATTTGAATTATATATTTGTGGTTTTCGTTGGTATTCGTGACTCATGAGTGCGAAAACGTGTTAAATCTGAGTAAATATGTATTCCCTCTTTCGGATACGACTACGAGTATTACAACATATTGCGACAAATACCAAAAGATTTAAAAACTACGACAGAATAATAATTATGGAAAACGACTTTTTTTCGCGAATAAATCTACAATCATTGCAAGAATAAAATTCGTATCGATTACGAAAAGATACCGATGGATAAATATACATATTTACGCTTATGTTTACATATGTACATATATTGTACATTATATATGTACATAGGTAGGTATGAATTATATTATATACATACGATGGGTTTAATTTTGAAAATCAAAGCGACGACGACAACGATGATGGGATGTGGTCATATTTGATTAGGGAACAGGGAGCTTTTACATTTTAGCGGCTTGTTAAGGACCATAGTTTTGTGCCGAGACATAGGGATTAACACAGTAATACAGTTAGTGTCTTGTGGGATTAATGTGCACGCGAGAGAAACATTAATAACGCATACGGCGCATTACATTCGCAACAGTAGCAGGATCCCGCTATAGCCTCCGGAAGGAAGACGCCAAAACGGACTGCCAACTTATTTTTATTTTTTCTTCAGATTATTCACAGAGGTTCATATAATCTTGAAGTGCCCCGATATGCAATATTAAAAGTATGATTGCGTCTTAAGTCTAAACACATACAATCGAATCAATATTTTCCTACGTTTTTAATAACCGAGTAAGTTATTCGGAGTAACGTATATATGTGTTCAATATTTATTTCACCTTTGCGAAAAAGTAAACAAATGTCTATATATATATATATATGTATTACATACTTAGGAAATGTCAGATTCGAGATATTTCTCTTGTGAGAATCAGTACACTATTACGTTATCCTCAGACGAGCTTCCAACGTGGTGTTTGTTCCGTATATTACAACGAGAATGTAATGTTATAAATATCGACCTAAGCTCTAAACGATAACCAAATTGAAATGTAAAGATTACATTCAATGAAATACTGCATGGAAATTTAAAATATGTATTTGTATTGACCAATAAAACGAACGAAAAACTTTTAATAATAATTCATTTTATAAGGGTTGTTAATATAATAAATTGTACCCTGGTGAAAGAATTGTCGGCATAAATGTTTTTTATTTAAATAAAAATGCTTTGATAAAAAGATATATAAAAAATTTGCAAAAATCAATAAATTATAAAGGTATAATTTTACTGACAAATATCAATATAAAATACCTTAATACCAGCGAAAAGAGTTACTACAAAGTTTGAAATTTTACAAATGTCATTTACTATCCGTTTTGTAGAGTTCATAGTGTTACATCATGCTTGTAATTGTGTTGAATATTTATACATTTTTTTTCTTTCTCTTGATCGATTTAGCAAATTGAGATAGAAAGATAGTTTTACGTATTTATGTACGTAAGTCATACTACTAATTTATGGACAAGTTAAAACGGGTTAAGACAATGAATAAATTATTATACGTGATATTGTGTACACGAGTTTCATGAACGCATATACTACCTGTATATATTTTCTTACTTCAGTTATCGCTACTCCTGCTGTTTTCATTGCGGTAACGACAAAAGCTTGATTAATAGTAATTTACAATTATAATACTAAAGTTTGTTTAGTTGGTTTGCAATTCAGCATTGCATGCTGGATCGCTTTTTTTGTTTTGAATTAATAGTGAAATTATAGGCCTAATTAATATCATTATATAATAATTTAACATATATACACTTACATGTATACATATAAATTCAGGTTGAGCCATCATTGTGCAGTTGCTCATTCAATTTTCAAAAATACGTTGATGTCAGCAATTTACACAGTTCATATTGTATATGCGTAGAAAAAATGTATTGTAAAGCAGGGGCCAACGTGATTCATTAATTATAAATATCATAGACTTTAAATTTGAAATAACAGATACATCATAAGTGAAGTTATTATACACTGATTAATTACTAATTAGGAAAATAATATTAAATATTTATTCAAAAACAATCATCAATCAACATGAATGAAAAATCCTAATTATTATATCATTTTTTTTTGTTTTACATTGCTCTTATAACTTAGTTATATCCTTTTAAATCTCGTTAATTTTTTAATGGATTTTATTGCAGAGTAAATATTTTGTTAAATAATTACATTTTATTATATAATATAAAAATTTCAGTTCTTTTAAATGATTTAAGGCTCTTACGGTAGTTTAATACAGGTTTTCATTACCTTATAATATGCAGTTAGATATACTCATTTTTACTTAATTTAACAAAATCAATATAATATTAATCAGATAAGTGAATTAATTCAAAATTGAATTTAAATTATTTAAAAGTACACCTAACTGTAGACAAGCTAGATTTGTTTAAAATAAAACATGCATAATACTGAAATTTCATAATGGATTCCACGCTATTTCCGAATGTGAACGAATGCACGAATAATTACAAAATCAGCAGCATAGACCAAAAATATTATTTCAAGTTGGATAAAATACAATATTGTATTGAGTACGAATAATAATAATAATGCTATGATATTCGTGAATATTTAGATTATATTTTATATCATTCGAGAAGGAAGTGAAAATG